GGCTGAGAACATCATAATGCTGGATATGGACATTCCTGCACGGACCTCTAAAGAGTACCAGGAGCCAGTTATCGCCCCAAAGCTGGCGGCAGCTCTGGAGGATGCTCTTCGGGATGAGGATGAGATCGAGGTAGATGCCTCAAGCTTTCACAGCAGCTTGGGACAAATGCTGCCTGCTGGTGCTAGCGGCAGCCTCAAGAAGCCAAAGTCAGGGTAAGCAACAGTACCACAAGTTATATTCACCTTCGAGTGCCGCATCCTGTTAAGAAACTAGTGCTTTTTTTTTTTTTTTTTTTTTTTTTTTTTTTTTTTTTTGGTAATATTTTACACCCACCATGTTGCAACAGCTTTACATTGGCTTGTTGTACAAAATAATCTCTTCCTCTTTGTTTCATTTCTGTCCATATTGTACAACGCAACACAAAAGGAAGGAGACAGCAGATTGTAAATTTGCATTCAGAGGAAATGATTTACCCTGTTAAAGACTCTGCAAATTTTTGATATGTGACAGATGAACCCTGTAAACAGCATAAACTCACTGATGGTGTGACACCAAAAGGTTTTCTAACTCTATGCCAATCTTTTCTCTCCTTTAGACGACCAAGAACAGGCAAGAAGTCGAGTACCCCGACCTCTTCATACAGCCCCTCCAGCCCAGGATCCCCTCTTTATCCCCAATCCCGTGGCCTGGTGCCAAAGTGATGGTTCCTACTGCTACTGTCACTGCCTGCCAACCTGTTTTGCACCTGTCCACATTGGGAATGACCTTTAGAGGATGGGTATAAAAAAAGATTAATGCTGCTTTCTAGTTTTTAACTACACCACTGTTAACTGATCTCTTGAATACAACAAAACAATAGCAGCTGTGCATGACATTATACTGCACTGCTTTTACAGTTCCCTAGATATTGATGAATGTCAGTAATTTCGTGTGTGTGTGTGTGTGTGAGAGACGCATCACAATGTTCTTAACGTACAAAAAAGTAAAGGTGGGCTTAACCTTCCCTTGCACTACTTCATATCTTCCTAGATGTGTGTTAGATGTCCTTCATGTTACTGTAAATGTGGACATGTGTGTGTGGTAGTGGGGGGAGGGGGCTGAGAGCTCTGAACCTGGCACTAACATAGTTGTGTGTGTGAATGTGGTGTTGTACATCTGGCTGCATGTCTGTGCATCTTTGAATCACTGTCTGAATGGGTTTGTTTGTTTTCTGTTTTTATCCACGACTTTAATTGTTGCTTTAGAGGAGCTTTAAGATTGCGTGTGGTTGCATGTGCTGGCTTCAGTCTTAAAGGAATAGTTGCACATTTTGGCAAATACACTTACAAAAGAGAAGCGTTAAGAATTTTTACCACCTTTACGCTGAAGTGTGAAGCAGAAAGTGATCGGCTTTAGACATAGCTGGTGAAACTGCCATTTGAATTTCAAAAATTCTCGTACTAAATTTCTAATAGGGAGCATGTCAGCTCAGCTGAAAAGGCAAAACTATGCAAATGCAGACATAGAATCTAGTTAATAAATTATAAACTGAATAATAAACAAACTGCAAAGCAGTTAGTCTGTTACAATTACCAAATAAAATGTTGGTGTTTACATTTAATTGTTTTTGGTAAATCCAGTCAACCTAATGGATGTTACTCTGTACAACCTGAATATCGGTGTTAAATCTAGCTCAGCTCAGCACAACACAAAAGCAATAAGAACAAGTAAATTATTAGTCAAGTTGAATTCTCAAGCCAAAAAGAGCTTTTAAGTAGGATCTCACCAAAATGTTTTTCAGTTCTGAAACCAAAGGCATGCACATAGCGAAGCCTGTTTGCATGTGAAAATGCGACCAGTGTCAAAAGAGGAAATGGTTGTAGCCTTTTGCTTTGATTACTTCCCTTTAAAAGTGATGTTATTGGATTTGTTACCCAGTCAGCACATTTTAAGTTATTAAATAGTTACATTTCCCTTGTAATGCAGTGCCACAGTACCTTTGCCATACTGTGGCTAACTTTATGTCGTGATGATTCACAAGCTAGTTGGTAGCTTACCATGAACAATCCGCATCCCTCAGCTGTAAAGCTGCATGTGCTGTAGACAGTACTGAAAGGTTTACTAATAGCAGTCAGAGCTCAAACTATGTGATGTCACTCTTTCTAAATGAGCACAAACACATTTAAAATGAAATATTTATTGGAAAAAAATACACACGACATATTATGATTGAGTACCTTAGAACTGTTTTTGTTCTTCAGCTGAGCCAAGCTAAGCTTCTTAGTTTCTGCTTGTGGTTTATGTAGCGTACAGATTTCACACTAATACATAAGCAAACTTTCTCAAATGGTGGACTATTTCTTTAAGTCTGCAAGTGTGCAGGTCAGGAAATAAAGCATGCTCCAGATCTGGACTCAGTCACGAGTTGCTGTAATCAGTAGATGCTGTTCTTCCTGAGACACACAAGGGAGGTGGGGAACATGGGGGGAGAGCCCGACACATGTACCCTCTGTGGACAGTTTCTAGGTTGCATGACATAGCAGTTGGCCACCAGACCAGAGATCAGCTTGAACTACAGCCTGAGCCACGTCAAAAGTACTGTCCTGGAATGTGCCTCAGATTTGTCAGGGTTCCATGGTGCCTTAATCTGCATCCTCAGTCTCTGCTCCTTCATTTGAGCCGTGCACACACAGGCCTCCCAGTCTTCGTCGGCTCATCTACAAATTCATTCCAGGATCAGAGAATCGTTAAGAGCGTGAAGTTCAGTCGGGGGCATCCTGGGTCATTTGGATAAGCACCACTGCAAAGTTGGGCAGATGAAGGGTCAACATATTTTCCTTGTGATTTTTATTTTTATCTACCTTGGTATTTGTGTGAGTGTAAAAGAACATTAAACCCCCACAGACACACCATTCAACATTTGCCTCCAGGTGGACAATATGCAGTTTTAACCGTCATGGTTCAGCCTGCCTCTCTGCTGCTCTCTGTTCCCCATATTCTTAACCGTGAAGGGGTGCGCTCTCTGCTCGCTGCTACCATGCAGGGTTTTCCAACCCACTGTGTCATTTCAGCAAGCGTGGGTCAAGTGGCAAATCTTTTTAAAATACTTGTGATGTGTGCAGTTTGTGAGTTGAAGACTTGTAAACCATCAGGGCTATGTCTCTAACAATCCCTGTGAGGTCTAGGTAGCCCTAACTCTACCTCTGTGCAATAAAAGTATGTGACCTTTTTTTTCTTTTTCTTTTTTTTTTTTGAAAATTGTTTTCCTAAGTCGTGGCAATCGGGGAGAAAACAAGGAAAAAATTTTTAACTAACGTCTATTTACATTTATCCCAAAACCTCCCCCCCCCCTCTTTTCAAACCACCGACTTAAAGTTGGGGTCCGACCTCACAGGGTACCTCAAGGATCTCTCTGCTGTTTGACCCATGCCTGCGTATCTATTTAGATACTGTAATGAATATAACTTGTTTAAAGGCAATCCTTAGTCACTTTTAGATCTGTAAGAAACACATGAGTTTCCATATTGAAAAAGTCTTAACTTATTACAATCCTATGTTTTTATATACAAATGTAGATATAATTTTTTATTCATTCTTTTTCTTGAAAATAGATTGTTGTTATTTTATTTTTGGAGCTCTGTAATTTAATGTTGAAATGTTGTTTTTTTTCATCATATATATATTATGTGTCTTTGTATTCGGCAAGTTACAGGCTTGTTTTCCCCACTTAGTTGATGAGTTTTCCACATGGATGTTGAAAGCATGGGTCATGTTGTTGATGTGGGCCTGTGCAGAGAGCGTCACGGTTCAGTATTGGCACATTAGCTGTAAGTTGTACTTCACAAACATAAATATTAAAATAAGAGCTAACATTGAAATGCTGTATACGCATGACTTTAGCACGCTTGAGTAACATGTTTTGGTTGTGACTGTGTTCATCGGTCATAGAAAGTTAGTGAACAAAATGTGAATGTATAATTTAATTGAAAAATCTTGTATCACTGGATCCAAACTCCCAGACTGTTTGCGATCAATTTTTACATGCTGTCATTGTAGCCATATGACGATTCTGCTGGTGCGCTTATGTATCTGACTTGGCTATGTCTTCTACTTGTTTAGTGTCTTTACATTAATAAAGAGAAATTAATGGGAGTACTGTGGTGTGTCTTTGAGGGTATTTAAGAATGTGTGATGTTACACATTAGGACCTACCCTTCCCTCTACTTTTCCGTATTTTCTTTCATTCACACGCACGCGCGCACACACACACGCACGCTAAGTAGATGGAAATTAAACATGGTTAATCAGTAGAAGGGTTAAGGCAAAGCTAAAACTTGTTTTAGACCAGGAAAAGCAGAAGGACTGTGGCCTCTCACAAAGGTCCAGTGCAACTATACTATATAGACAACAGTACAAGGCCTATGCATTACTCCAGCCATGGAAAGTTGTCATGAGGCTAACAGTTTCTATGTTAATTATAGAGGAGGCGTGGAACTGCAATTTTTGAGTTAGACCATTGCTGACTTTTCCAAGCTATAAGCCTCAGAACTCAGTGATTCTGCTCTGTAACTTTATGTGGACTGTGATTGCTGCATGTGTCCACTTTGGAATAATACAGCTGATGTCAAGCAGGGGAAGAAATTTCACTTGTGACTTGCAGCAATAGTGGCATCGTGTTACCTGAAATTCAGTGAGCTGTTAGAAAAACCCACTCTTTCAGTGTTTGTAAAGGCAGACTGAATGGATAGGTGCTTAGGTTTCTAATTCTGTAGCAAAGGGACTGAAAAGCCCTAAATTAAAAGCTGTGACCTGTTTTCCCCAGATTGTAAAACAGGTTTTTTTGGACCTGCTCTGGTGGAATCCCCCAATAAATTAGCATGTCGCCTTTAAATTATATATTATATAAATTCATATATTTGCAAACCTGTTATCTCTGGGATTATTGTCATATTTCACATTTTTTCTCTAAGAGAAAAATAAGCTCAATACTCACCTGACAAAACCACAAGAAACTGTCAACTTTTATATAATGAACTTTATTATCTGCAGGTCAATATTACAGCTCAACTCAGAAAAACAAGCAAGTCAGTCTCACCAAACTGTGATCTTTAGGAAAAGGAGAAAAAAAAGTGTGTGATCGTATACATTCAGCAGAGGAGCACAACAGCACAGCAGAATGGTATTTGTATTGAATAAAGGAATGGTGCACATACAGTACTTGAAAGTAGATCAAGCAGTAGAAAAAAAGAAATCACAGTGAAGCGTGACGTTACACTTGGAACTATTTTCTCTGATTCCCGTTATTGTGGTCACATCCATGATTTATCTGATACACTGTATTACTGATGCAGAGTGCCTTCTGCATTGCCTTGTGCTTCAAAACCGATTCTTCGAATGCAAACAACCTTCAAATGGAAAAAAAATAATCTAAGGCTTTAGATGATTTTTACGTACCAAACAGTGGAAGTGGTGTAGTTTTAGAAATGTATTTTTCTTGTGATGAGTGACTTGCTGTTGATCTGCTGGTCCCACTCCAGATTTGAGTCCATGCAACTAAAGTTTGGCACAGAAGAAGGTGTAAAGTACAAAGGAATAATGCCCATCAAACTAGAGTCCACAGTGGGGAAAATGGTAATTAAAGAAGTATCTTCTATTTTAAAGTACCTGTTTAAAGTTGCTTTTTCTTATGATTCACAAAACAAAAAGTACACCAGTTTCATACATACACACCACTTCAAGTCTCAAAAAGTGATTTCATTCACAAAAACCTAAATATTACAAGGAACATGACAGCACACACCCAGTCATCAGAATAATTACTTGTGTGTTTTTATCATGCTGTTTTTTTTATGTAAAATGGAATATTAGTATATTTTATGGTCATTCTCTTTTGGTTAATGGGATGCAGAGAAAAACAGTGAGACTGCCCTTTGGATGCAAATGTGAGGCTTAAAGTCAGCTTCATCTCCAAGGAGACAAAGACAAATGTATGATGAAACCTATGCATAGGAAAGAAAGAAAGAAGAAAAAAAAAATAAAGGAAAACTCAGCCCAGTAGATCGTCAACTAGGCTCTTAAAACACAGGGAAAAGATGACCGAGCGTCAGCCTTAAAAATAAGATAATTTAAAGGGTAATTCTGGTTTTATTTAAATTTGCTGTGCTCCCCTGGTTATTGTAGTTCTGTGGGTTCCTCAAAGCAGCAACCTCTCAGGCTGAAAAATTAAGCGAGGGCTCAGACTTTGATTTGACTGAAAGTTGTGCCAACACAGGCAGCTGTATGCTAGCCCAGACTTCTAGTATGTACTTATCATTTGTAAACATTTGAATCCATCAAGGAAGCATGGCAGAAATGCTCAGCTGACCAATTAGCATGTATTAGCAGGAGACTAGAACCAGTTTCCTTGTTTAAAAATAAAAAAAAACAGAAAAAAAAGACGAGTACAATTTGATTTCCAGCCTGACATATTATCAGTGTTGTGTTTTTATTCTAGAAGCAGGTGTAAAAAAAGCTAGTAGCTGACCAGCATCCTCTGCAGCAGCCTACTCTCTCTACACTGGGATTAACAGCAAGTGAAATGGCTCTTAGAGCATCTCTGTTAGTGTCGAGACACAACAGAAACAAATAAACCACAATTATCCTTTAAGGGCTTAAATTACATCATGGACTGGGGGCTAAAGGCACAGCTCCCATTTTATTTAGAAATCTGTGGAAGAAACCTGCCACGCTATCTTGCGGTTGTCTGCTATAGCTACAACATCACCAAAGAAAATCTATTTAGTTCTCATACCCTTTAATCTGAATCTTCTTTAGTAAAATGACATCATCCCAGTGATAACAGCTGCTTGTGGACAAACTGGCTTCCACTCCATCATTCTGTACTCTCCAGCTGTAATCAGTTCCAGGCTGTGGCTAAACCGATCCCTCTGCTACAGTCTTTGATCTTGGGTTGTCTTGTTTACCCTGTGACTGTATCTTCTCTGAGTGCCACTAAGATGCCCCTGTACAAGCTATGTACTCAGGCAACAGTGGACTGTTAAACTGCTGTTTCTAATATTAGAGCTGCAGAGCTAATTCATAAATGGTTTATTTTATACCAATTTCTGTCTTTTTGCACCCCAAAGGAGGTCCAAAGTTTACAAATGGAAAACCCTCCCTCCCCCTCCCCTGGACGTACGGAGCTGACTTTTCACAGCACCAGAAAATGACTCGAGTAAAGAGCAGCGGGAAAAAGAGGGGGCAGAAACAGGATGGATGATGGCGACTATGAGGGCAGGTAAAAGAGAGAAACAGACCCGTGGCGGAGCTTGGGGTCAGTAAGGTGTATCGTCCTGCCTGTACAGGAGGTGGTGGGATTGGAACAGAGGCTTTAGCCCCTGCAAGATTCCAGCTCTGGACTCTGACTCGGGACCTGGCTGCAGCTCATTTCTCTCTGTAGTACAGCAGGTACATCTTCAGAGGCTCGGGTAGCGGCAGGCCCAGGATCCTTTCTCTCAGGACATTCACAGCGGGCTGGGGTCGGAGCAGCTCGCCCGTCTCCTTCTCTTCTTCCTCTTCCTGCTCCTCCTCTTCATCCTCCTCCTCCACCGTCTCCTCCTCCTCCACCACGACTGCCCTGCCTCCAGATCCCCTCCCCACCCTCCTGCCCCCTCTCATCTGCTGCCTCACTTCCCTCTCTCCTGCCTCCTCCTCTTCCTCCGCTCCTCGTGCCCCCTGGTTGTTGTTGTTGTCCAAGGAAGCAGGACCAATCCCACTGCTGGCTACGACCTGGCGGGTGGCCAGGACGAGGGCGTTGCAGTGCCGCCGGTGGACCCTCCTGCGTTTGAAACGAGGCCCATACTTATGAAGCCCTGCCACCGCCAGGCCCCGGCCAACGCTGAACGAGGAGCCTCGGCCACGGGAGTGGCTGTCTCCTCCATCCGTGGTCACCCTGAGGGTGTGGCGGATGCAGATACGGGCCAGTTCCTGTAACGATCGCACCTCAAACTTGGCTGAAATGTTGAGAATGGCAAGTCAACATCAGGGAAATGAAAATGGCGAGAAATGAAAGAAGGACAAATGACACTCACGTAGTGGAACAGTCTTGGGTTTGCTGTTGGTGCTGTGTTTGGGCAGCACCAGAGGGGCGAAGGACACAGAGATGATCTTTTTGGTCTCCCAGCTGTTCAGTCCCGTTCGAGTGATCTTGGTCAACTGCATAAAACAGAAGGGTAGTCCTTTAATACGTTTGTGTGTATAAATGATTTTTTTTTTCATCTGATTGAATTCAGTAACATGAAGAGTTCATACTATCAGTTTGTGTGCCAAAAACTGCAGCTCCTGTAATCACTACTGTAGCTCCAAAAGCGAGGGTGACATTACTACATGCAGATATTTATTTATAGAGATTATCTCTTGAATATTTCCAGTTACACTTATATTTTAAAAAGTAACATAAAATACCATGGAGACTCAGACAGACCACAAACCTTTTCCTCAAGAGGCATCACCAGGATGCCCCCCACCTTGAGCAGGTTCTTCATATAATCCTCATGCTCTTTCTGCACGCCGGCCCCGCAGTACACCCTGTCATACTGACGGCTCTCTGGAGGGATCTCCAAGCAGTTTCCCACCACAAAGGATGGCTCACAGAACTCAAATCTGAAGTGAGAGAGCAGCAATGCACAACAAGCCATGGAGGAGATTAAAAAAATGCTGCTGACAAGTCAAGAAACCTACTTGTCAAAACTGTCGCTGGTTTTAATGAAGGAGTCGAGCTTCTGGTAGGCGTACTCTATCACATCTGCGTGTAACTCTATGCCGTGATTCACTCCAAAGGGACCTGTAACAGTCAGCACAGCACAGTGTCTAATCAACCTTATGAATATTTAATTCAATTCAATTTTATTTATATATCTTTAAATCACAACAACAGGTGTCTCAAGGTGCTTTATATTGTAGGTTAAAGACCCTACAATAACATAGAGAACCCCAATAATTAGATGATCTCCTAGACTCTCTGGTGGCCTTCAAAAGTGTTCAGTTTGCAGCCAATCACAAAGCCATCCTTCCTGATTGCAGTGTACCACAGCTGGAAAAGCTTCATCATTTTCCAGCATGCACTGAAGGAGCTCAGCTTTCCTGGGAAATAGAGCTTGCTCATCCCCTTTTGTACACATCATCTGTGTTGGTGTTCAAGCTGTTGACGTGGCTGTGCTGCTACTTGTACTCCTCCACCACATCCAGATCTTGTCCCAGGATAGACACACGTACACACCTATGCCTGCATTTGTCCTTTTTCTTCTGAAGTTGACCACCGGTTCTTTGATCTTACTCACATTCAGAAGCAGACCAGTCCACAAAATCACTATCAGTAAAACATCCAACCACTAAAGGAATATCAGAGTATCTTCAGTGTTAACATCTTCAGTGTACTGGATTCATTTTGTCCTTTTGAAGTGAAGTGAAAGAAGTGAAATTTTTATTTCGGTCAACAACAACAACACAGATTATCATTTTACATAAAAGTACTCAATCATACAGTAACCGAAAAAGGAACAGGCTGAAGCCTTGTGGCTTATAATTATCCTATCATTTACCCCACAGGAATAATCAAATCCTTAACCAAGAAAATAAATAGCATTGATGAATAATTTGTATAACAGTTTGAAAAGAAATCAATGATAAATCAAGAAATTAAATCAACACAAAGTTTTTCATCAAACCAAATTTCCGTAGCCTTTTTGTTCCTTCTCCCTTTCTTCTATTTTAACACTCACTCTCCAACCGTTCAGTGGTTGCTCCTGCCTGAGCCTGGTTCTGCCAAAGGTGTCTTTGTATTACAGTTTTTGCTCGTTGCTTGAACACTATAAACCCATGCTTAGACTAAAGTAACACAACTTGAAGCTTTTGTTACCATACCTCAAACACATGTACCCATACCTTAAACAAAAGTGCTGCTTTGCACTCTGGTTGCAATTATGCAACACACTTACTCCTTTATGCAACACACATGGTCCTGCATAGTACACTCTATTTCATACATAAGACACTTCGTTCAAAAATGAAATTTCAGGGTGCCATTTGGAAAACACATGTATCCAAAATACAAAACACATCGGGTAATTGCAACCACTCAAATATACACCTGAAGGCACTTACTTGCAAAACTGAACACCAATTAGCCAACCACAAAAAGCCCTCAGTTTAGCCATTTCAAGAACTTTGCAAGCATGGATGGAGGGAGAGCAAGAGGAAGAGGAGGAGGAGGTCAAAGAGGCCATGCACGGACCCATATTTCTGATGATATAAGAGCAACTTTGGTGGACCATGTCATCAACCACGGCCTGACTATGAGGGAAGCTGGGCAGAGAGTCCACCCACATCTAAGCCGCTTCACAGTGGCATCTGTAATACGAACATTCCGACTAGAAAACAGGTATGTCTTCACCTCCATACCTTCTGCTCTACTCAGATGGTTTTATAGCACTATTCTACAGTATATCACATTACCATATCAAGTGTACGGGGTGCTAATGCTCCTTTTGCAGCCAAAGTGGCTGATTCCTTATATTGAAGTAGTGTTGTACAGTGGATGACACAGTACATACAGTAAAGTAGTGTAAGAAAAATAAGCAAACCGATGACAATATGTGGTTGTATTTCTCCAGAATGACTCGAAGACCTTCTGGGGGAGGACGGCAACGCCTGTTCACACAACAGCAGGAACTTGCTGTTGTGGACCTAGTGAGGGCAGACAATGCCATCCGTCTCCACCAGCTACGACAGAAAATACTTGCAGACAGGCGAGTGTTCAGCAACATAGACCATGTGAGCATCACCACCATCAGACGCATCTTGGGTAAACACAGCATCACCATGAAGCAGCTCTACAGAGTCCCATTCGAGAGGAACAGTGACAGGGTCAAAGGACTTCGAGCTGAATATGTACGGGTACGTGTAACTGTCCCTTACATTTACAATAGAGTATTGGTGAAGTCCAGTAGCAGCTGAATATGTACCATATCAGTACCACATGGATCTATTCTGAGAGCTACACAGGTACCTGTGTGATGGGGTGAGGGTGCTGTATGTGTAGCACTGTAGTACAGTGATATGTTCCCCTTTTTTTCAGAGAATCTTGGCCATGGATGGAGCTGCACAGCCTCATGAATACATTTTCATTGATGAAGCTGGATTCGACCTGAGCAAAACAAGACGACGGGGTCGTAATGTAATTGGCCAAAGGGCAATTGTGCACGTCCCAGGGCAGCGCGGGGGAAACATCACATTATGTGCCGCCATATGCCTTCGAGGGCTTCTGCACCATCATGCAATACTAGGTCCATACAATAGCCAACACATACTCACATTTCTAGATGCTCTCCATGATATAGTTGTACAGAACAGACCAGATCAGCCCAGGTTTGTGGTGATATGGGATAATGTCAGTTTCCATCGGGCTGCTCTGGTCCAGGCCTAGTTCTCCAACCACAATCAATTTGAAGTGGTATACTTGCCCCCTTACTCAACATTTTTGAACCCTATAGAGGAATTTTTTTCGGCTTGGAGATGGCGAGTATATGACCGCCAACCACATGCCCGCATGCCTCTTCTGCAGGCAATGGAACAGGCCTGCGGCGACATTCAGGTGACAGCAATCCATGGATGGTTTCGACATGCAAGAGGATATTTTCCCCCGGTGCCTAGCGGGAGAGGACGTTGCTTGCGATGTTGATGAGGTCCTGTGGCCAGACCCCAACAGACGGCGGGATCCATGAGCCCACTTATGCACAATTGTCATGGTTTTTTGTGTTTACAGTATAGTGTTTTTTCTATTGCAGTACTATTGTGTTGTTGTTGTTGTTTTTTTTGCTTTATCTGAATTCATGGTACTGCAATGTACAATATTGAGTAGGTCTATTTGCGTTTTTGGTTGTTTGAAAATGTGTGTCCTGTAAATGTGCCTTCTGAATACAGTTTTTCTCAAATGCTAAAACACATTTCACAAACGTTACCACCAGGTCCCCCAATGTCCAAACACAACACCCTTCTCTAAAGCTACATAAACACAACCACACCTTCCCACTGCAAAACTCAAACTCCCACACCAAGAGAGCAGCTCGAAGCTGTCAAAACTGTAAACACTATACACAGCATTACACACTACAGCAAAACAATTGAAAACACAATGCTCAATTTGTGAGAAGGTTCTTTGTTCCATAACTGCCAATGCATATTTTAGAAACTATACAGTAACGGATCGTCGTAGATCTCTGCAGAGGATTAGGCATTTAGATTTGTGAGTTTCATATGAGTAGTATAAATCTATAGAAAATCCTGCATGTACGTACACTACTGTAACACAACTCAATGCAAAAACAGAATCTATTGCACACAACAGTAATCTTGAAAACATGAACAGGGTGTGAAGTTTTTTTATTTACGTTATTCACACCACACACACACCACAATCACTGTGCGGCATCATGTCGCTGAGCTGTTGCTCGCATCTCGTCCGTAATGATGGTGCGAGGTTGTCTTGCTCTCCCTCCTGGACCTTCTCCTCTCCCATGTTGGCCTTCTCCTCTTCCTCGTTGGTCGCTCCTCTTCCTCCTCTCATTTGAACTCCTCTTCCTCATTGGCCTGCTCCTCTTCTTCCAGGGCCAGCTCTTCTCAAAACAAATTTCCCACGTGTGGGACTAATAAAGGTTATCTTATCTTATCTTATCTTATCTTATCTCCCTCCTCTGCATCAAATTCCTCTTCCCCTGACTCTGCCTTCATCCATTGTGTTTGTTTGGAACCTTCAGCATACTGTGCACTCTGAACTTGCTTTTACATGTGGGTACAGCATTAGCAACAAGTGTCTTCAATTTTGAGTCATTGTGTGTAGTGAATGACGCCAGGTGTGTTCCCTGTGTTCAAAGATTGGTGACTGTGGCAAGCATTTTGCATCACATGGGCTTTCATTTGAGGATATGAGCAGAGTTGTTTTGCAACATGTGTTTTAGCAAGGAAAAATGTGTTTAGATTTATGAGTACAGAGGGTTGTGTTTTGTGAATTGTGTCTTCATGTGACATGTGTTTATGGTACTGGAATATGGTGGCTACATTTAGTAAATGTGTTTAGACTACTGGTCATTTGGGTTACAGGATTGGCTTTTGTGTTTTAACATTTGAGAAAAACTGTAAACAATGGAAATCAAGGACTGCAGTGTTTTATATAAAGAAGACTAGTGTGTTCCCCCTGATCTGTCAGTGTTTGCATATGATGCAAGTATGTGTCATTTTGTCATTTTGAGTTACATTTTGACAAAGGAATGTTAGGTTTTGACAGCAGAGTTTAGGTTTTGGGAGTAGAGTTTCAATTTGGCACAGATGTGAATGGTATATTTCCCAGTGTTGTGTCATGTGTACTTGTGTGTACAGTTTTGGCACAGAGAGCGGAGTTTTGCAAAATGTGTTCAAGCAGTGGGCAAAAACTGTAAAAATGTTGTAGGGTCTTTATCTTATAATATGAAAAGCCTTGAAACAACCATTGTTATTATTAACTGTTTTTGTGAACATGCAGATATTTTAGACAACTAAGAAAACACCATTATCCATCTCTACTGTGAATAAAGAATTTCACAGACAGCACAGGAAAATGATGCTTCTTTTTACATCAAAAATATTGCTGAGTAAAGTAATCCAGTGACAGCTGTCATTGTTTGGGTACGCTAAAAGCATTAACTGCTAATAGCTAATTTGGTGTCCTTTAAATAATAACCAAAGAATATATGCTGAAAAAGTAAGGAGCTGCATACCCAGAATGAGGCCGACCATGGTGCTGAGGTAGCCCGTCCCACTGCCAAGGTTGAGAAAGGAGAGTCCAGGGTGGAGATCCAAAGCCTCCATCACTTCCGAGTAAATACACGGAGCAGATAGGTGGATGTTTCCGTGCCGCCATGCCAGATCCTAAATGCAACAACAGCATATAGTACATTTACCAGCTTAGACCCCTGTGGGCTGATTCCACACACTTTCACTGTGCTGACCTTATATGCGTTATCCCGGTATTCATCCAGGTAATAGTCTGCACGGTCGATAGCTCGGAAAGCTCGCTCCACCAGGTCTGAGCGGATGTAGTAAGCCTCCTTAAGGTTGTCAATCAAGTCATCGTTGTCCTCACCGGCACTCACAGCTCCACCCATCCTGACTGAAGACCAGATGACAAAAGCATAAGGCACGGTTTCACTTTGAGACACAGTTCCAGTAGCTGTTCATGCTGTTGTTGTTTGTTTGTTTTTTAAGTCTTTCAGTGTTATATAAGTTCATTCATTAAAGGAGGACTTCTAGGTTGGTGCCCTCTCACACCAGAAGTTTGCACACTTTAAAGGTTTCCAAATGACACTGTCTTTGTTCTTTTAGTGTCAATTTCACAACCCTGTGGGGAAAAAAAATCTGAAACAAATAAAAGGCATTAGGACAGGATTCTACAGTGAAAGGATAGGCTGTTTTCCTTAAAACATTAAATATCTTAGAGTTTTGTTCTGGTTTGTGTGCAAAACAAACAGTGTCAAAAACAACAAGAAATAAGAAAATATGCCAGTGGGTTCCAAAACTAATCTGTAACAGACACATAAAGTTAAACAGGTTAGCAGGCTATCTTAAACTAAAAAAACTGAAGTTAAACTGAAGCTGAACAACATATCTGATTAAATTATTAAGCAAATTAAGTACTGCTCCTTGCCCTGCACATTTCAACAGTATTCTGGCAGCTTTAAACTTACTTTCAGAACCATTTACTTTCATTTACATGTAGACAAACGCCATCAAGCTTTGGCTCAACAAAGAGGCAGAATACATTGTATTATATTTGATCTTTTTTTCATTTTCTTAACCTCAAATGGATGAAGTGAATAGAAGGTGATTATCAACCTGTATGGCTGAAAGTGAGCAAACACAGAAGTGCCAAAATGTCCAGGTCTTCTAATGTCCTCTTAAGGTTAACTTTAAAAGTCAATCAATATCCACAGACTCACATGTTAAAATAGTCACTTTGATACATAGTCTATGTTTTTTCTTAAGGATTGTTACACTGGCAGCCATGGCCTCTAGCGGTCTACTAAGACTCACCTCTGTTGATTCAGGCCACTGAACTGGACCTTTTCATCTTGCTACTGCTGTTTCCTTTTGGAGCATTTTTAATGGAATTATATTACAAATAATATGACTTGTTGTAAGGAGCAGAGTGGAATTCTACCAAATTACTAGTCTTGTCAGCACTAATTAGCACGTGAACAGTACCCTTACAGCCATCAATTGCTGTTGTGATTTGGTGCTATATAAATTTTTAAAAAGAACTGAAGCATTGCAGCAGAGTAGTATTCAAATTTTTCCTTTGTTCTCACTTCAACAGGATGCATCTGGATCAACTCCTGGATAAATTTAATGGCACACAGTATCTTATTGATATCTTATTCCGGTGTTTATTTTTTTTTCTAATTTTTCTGTGTAACTTTTATACTGTCCACTGCTGTAACAAAACAAATTTCCCACACGTGGGACTAATAAAGGTTATCTTATCTTATCTTAGTAGTGAACGCTTCCCAGGGAGACTTTCAGCACCAATTACATGATCAAACTGCAGTAAGAGGGTTAGGTGTGGCTTTTAGCAGCAGAATGTGACTAGGATGTGACCAACTCTGTTAAAAACACCATAGGGCAGTGCCAAAGGACAGAGATCACTGCAGGGTGCACTGTCTGCGAAATGTTGGACACCCTCGTTAGGCTATAAAAGAAGAAAGGGCTGAGTGCATTTAAATAACAGAGGATGTACTGTCTTCGTTTAAAAAAAAGTGTCAGGTGGTGAAGCCCTAAAGGAACATGAATTCTTGGGAGGAGAAGAACAAGGTTTTTGCCTCGTTATGTTTTTTATTTTATTTTATCTTTTGGCATACAATGGGAATCTATGCCCCCGTGAGTATGATCACCCGCCTTTTTCTTCTTCTTCTTTTTTGATTTACTTTGTTTTGTTTTGGGCTGTGGACACAAATGGCCACAGCAGGGCGCTGCCGGTCATTTTCGTAATTTAGTATCTAAGTGGTTTAGTAGGCTAGTAGGGTACACGCTTCATGCCAAACAGTGCCAACTGAACTTGGCTATTTATTTCCTGATTTAGTGATCAGCTAACACGCCCTTTCCTTTCTAAAAACGCTTTTCACGTCGAGTCTAAAGTCCGGCTCCGGCCGGGACTTCCAACTCCAGCATACCCGTCTGCACGCTGCTGTGCTGCGGTGCCATTTGCGCCACTCAGGTGATCGAGTTTCGAAATAAATAAATAAATAAATGGAGCTCGGTTGAGCCAATAATCACCCAGCCTAAAGGATAACAACAGCACAATGCATTCGTAACAAACCTCCATGGAACGACAAGGTCAACACAAGCAGAAACACAACTGCATTCTTATCGTCGGTGGAAGATCAGGAAAATCGAGAGGAGCCCAGCGAGCTGCTGCTGGTCTGCAGCCACACAGCGCGCCTCCACACACAACACGGCCCAGCTGAAGCGTGTACCTCTTATTAACGCCGCCTGATATTCTCTGTCTCTGCGCTTTTCCTTGTGCTCAGCCTTTTGTTGGTGGGGGATCCAGTCAGAAACACATCACTGCTGGATGTAAACATTCGGCCAGCTGACGCTCTGACGTCAGACGTAACACACGCAGAGTAACGGCCAGAGGGGGATGGCCTACTTTCAGCAGTGTGGGCTGTGGAAGTGGAACAGGCCAGACGCGGGTGGAAACCGACGGAGAGCGCAAATGTGAACGGCAGCGAGAGGAAAACAGCTTCATCCAACTGAGTTTCGATGCTGCTCAGTGTTTGTTTGTGTGTTTGTTTGTTTTCCCGCCCACCTAAGCATGTCTTCGCTCTGATTGGCCTGTCACCGTCTTACTAATTATTACTGAATTACAGTCGCTTTGGTAGTTGCTGTGTTCCAACATCTGTAGGTCAGTAGGTTAAAAGTCAAGTCAGTACCTTACTTGGATGCAGTACTAATGGACCTTCTCCATACATTTAATGACAGTTATTTGAACCAAAACTTTCATATTTGGATTTATCACCCCACAAGACTTGTTATCACTGCTTTTCAGTCCAGCTAATGTGTGGTTTGGCATTTCTCAGCCTTCTCTTCCCACCCATTTCCCTTCCTTCAATGACTGGTACATGGATTAACTGAAAGGCCAGATTCATCTCTCAGGTCCTGTGTGAGGTCTTTGCTTTCCCCATCTCTTTAGGACATGACTTTCAGAAAATGGTTATCTAGTGTAGGTACTAGGTAGGTTGTTTTTTTTTTAGACCTCGTGCTTCTTTTGTCCTCCGCTTGTCCAGTATCATTTTGTTATGGACACATATCATGTTTTGTGTTAATAGGTCTTTGGGGACCACCTTGTTGGTGGAGAAATACTATTTTACCTTTTTAAAGCTGTTATCTTTGAAAAGTTGTGGGAACAAATTAAGCTGCTAGTAACACAAGGCCTAAAGATACAATTTATAATCAATTCTTTGCTAAATTGTCTGTACACGTAGCTACAATGCTGGTCTATCCCTTGAATAAGGTGCCCTTTTTTATGCTTGAACATTCATAAGTCAGCGTTACCCCCTCCTCCCCCCCGAAAATGTTCAGGTACTAGGACTGTATTGAAATGAGCAAATGTTCAAAGAAAAACTTCAAAGAAAGATCTTCAGAAACCTCAGAGATCCACTTTAAAAATTACTTTACTTTTTACTAAAGAAAACCTGGCTCCTTAGAAACTCGTTCTCTCAGTATGTGATAATAAATGCAAATTAGTTTTTTTTTGTATTTGTATCCAGGTGTCAAGGTTCACAGCTCACTGAGTGAATGGGACTCTTTCAAAGACACACAATTTTTAAATTTATTTATTTTTTATAGAGAAACACTAACATGAATGCACAAATGTGCTCTTTCATTATCTTATTGTCAACTTTTTTGTTGGATTCCAGAAAGAAGAATAAAGACTGGTGATGGATCTGCAGTTGTTTGTTGTGAATTTATTATTCTTTAACATAACTGAAGTCATAACAGAATTCTTTAACATACTCCATATACTGCATTAGCCCAGCTGGAATTTACCTTTCAATCTCTGTTGTAATAAATAAATAAACTTCTTCTCAACCCCCTCAAATAAAAGCTAAGAGTATGCACTTTAAGCTCATATTCACCACATACCTGTAACTTGTTCTTGTAAACAGCTAAAATTAAAAAAAGAAAGCACCTCTAAAAATATGGTGTCAAAATCACGGAGTATTATAATAATGAGTACTAATTGGCTAAACCAGAACACCAACAGCATTCTTCTTTTCACTAAACCGCATCAACAGTTACGGTAACTCGCTGCATTTTATGACAACAGTATATTACTGTGGTCTCATTCACTTATGCATTTTGAACTTTATCTATACTTCTGAGAATTCCAGGAATGATTAATTCCTGGAATTCACAGAAGTATAGATAAAGTTCAAAACATATCTCATACAACAAAGGTTCAGAAAATGATCCACTAGATGGCAGTGCTGCTCAAAATATAAATAGAGCGATGAAAACATAAATAATCTAGCTACATCTGAAATGAATCTAGCGAATTCAGATCCCTAATTTTGTTTAATATGTAGAAAGACAGTGTGTCGTATATTACTAACTGGCTAAAAGCTGAAGGCTTTGCATTCCATTCTTTTTGTGAAATGTCTAGAAATCACACGCAAGCCAGCAGTCTGTAAGAAAAGTGCTCTGTCAAAAAGGTAGTATGAGGTCTTATATGATGGAGCCTCATTATATAAGATTTTGTATGTGAGGAGCAGGTCTTTAAATTCAGTTCTGGATTTAACAGGAGGTCAATGAAGAAAAGACAATATAGGAGACATATGCTCTCTCCTACTAGTCAGTACTCTTATGCAGTATTCTGGATCTGCAGGTAGTTTCTAGAGCCTCCTGATAATAATGAATTTAGAAGTAATAAATACATGAACTAGCTTTTCAGTATCACTCTTGAGAGCCTCTAGATCGTTTAAAGATGCCGTAGAAGCACTCGGTTCTGTCCCTCTCTTCTGACCTCCCGGGTAAATATTGGTGACAAGTTGAACTGAAATTTCGGATTCATCACTTATACCACATGCTGTAATGGATTTTCAGTCCAGTTCTTGTGTAAATTAGCATACCTCAGCAGGCACGTGCAGAGGGGGGGGCTAGAGGGGCTTGAGCACCCGCCCCTTTCATGATGGGTGCCCAAAGTGCCCTTTTGTTGAGGCAACTTTTAAAAAAAAAATTATTTATTTTTTAATGTGTGTGTGTGTGCGGAGTCCTGTCTGTGCCCCTCAACAATAATATTTAACTATTAATCACAGTTTTGCTAAATAAAAGGATCTGGCTTGCATCAGTCACATGATCACATTTAACCAATGATCGCCCTTGACGGCAAAACGCGCTGGTTACGAGGCGGGAACGAGCTCACAAAGAGCACGCGCATTTTTAGCGGTCCGGAGCTGTAGGAGAAACACAAGTTAACTCAGAGACACAGACTGATGCGACACAACCAGTAAGTAGGTGTACAGCGCACACTGTAGTGTGTAGCACCCAGGAGTATCAGCTTATTACGTACACGTTGGTAAGTTGTCTTGTTGCAGCTGACGAACTGAAACAAATGACCGAGCTGTGTGTGCAACAGCGCGACAAACATTACCTGTCCTTTTATTAACTGCACAAGTAGTGCTGGTCACAGCTGCTGGCTACCTGGCTGTCATTTCAATTCAATTCAATTCAATTTTATTTATATAGCGCCAAATCACAACAAAAGTCGCCTCAAGGCGCTTCATTGGTACAGAGAAAAACCCAACAATCATATGACCCCCTATGAGCAAGCACTTTGGCGACAGTGGGAAGGAAAAACTCCCTTTTAACAGGCAGAAACCTCCGGCAGAACCAGGCTCAGGGAAGGGCGGGGCCATCTGCTGTAATTGGTTGGGGTGAGAGAAGGAAGACAGGATAAAGACATGCTGTGGAAGAGAGAAAGAGATTAATAACAGATATGATTCAATGCAGAGAGGTTTGTTAACACATAGTGAGTGAGAAAGGTGACTGGAAAGGAAAAACTCAATGCATCATGGGAATCCCCCGGCAGCCTACGTCTATTGCAGCATAACTAAGGGAGGATTCAGGGTCACCTGCTCCAGCCCTAACTATATGCTTTAGCATATAGTTGTCATGGGTCTGTAGCTCTGTCACCGTTTCAGGGAACATATTTAGTTTTAAAGTAAGTTTCCGGGCTTTTCCTGCCTTTCTGGAGGGATTATATTTCACTAAAAACGATCTAATATGCATGTCCACATAATTATGCATTATTATAATTATAATATATTAAAAAACACACGCTGTATTTTAAAGAACATACATTAAGAAGCAGATTATATTAGATTTATATTTTAAATAAGACAAAATTTGGATTTTACAGCAGTAAAATGATTGTATCTACAGTTTAAAAATGTAATAAGCTTTGCCCCTGCACAGAGTGGATAGTGAAACAAATGGAATCATCATAATTACATTATTTCCTATTTATTACTTCCCCCTCCTCTTTGCTTTATTATTGTAGCTCTAGTAATAAATAATAATGTAAGGATTCTGGATCAGCACAGCCCATAGTATATACAGTATTCTGAAGAAGGTCTAAAATGTCACTGTGTGTGTGTGCATGTGTGTGTTTTATTTAGATGGATTTTTTTTAATTATTACTCATGATATAACATTGTCCAGACATGGCTGGTAAGGACATGAGGAGGAAACAGCAGGAGCTGTGTGAGGCTACTAAAGGCAGGGCTATAACATTTTTCTGTGATCATTTTATTATAGATTAAGTGCTGGAGTTGTTAGGTGTGGATAATTAGATTATAGTTTATTGCAATAGCAAGTTGTGCCTTGTTCTCACATAGCAAGTGGAGAGTGATATATGAAATGATGGAAGGAAGGAAGAAGAGAAGCAAAGAGTGATTCACAGGCAGAGCCTAAATTATTTCTCACAGTTTTTGTTGCCTTATGGTTCCAAGCGCTGTCACCAATCTTTGCATTTTGTTATTATCTCATGACATTTAATCAGCTACCATCTCTCCTGTGGGCTTTTTAATGTCTACAGTCTCAGATCAGCACAGCCCTGCCCTTCCCATATTAGATTTTTGATGAATGTGTGTTGTTGTTATTCAGCCTGGTTCAATGTGCCCCTTTTTAACTTTGAGCACCCGCCCCTTTAAACCTCTCTGCACGGCCCTGTACCTCAGCCTTTCCTCCCCATTTTCCTTCCTTAAGAATGACAGTCACCCTTCCACTTAAAGCATTACTGATGATGCTGTAGATGGATCAACTGAAGGGCCAGAGGCATCACTGCAGACCTGTGTCAGGTCTTTGCTGGATTTTCTTCTTAAGGACATGACATGATCTGCTGTACACAGCTTTTTAGTCCTGCTTCTTCATCATTTGCCCTCTATTTTTCCAATTCCATCAGTGTTTCCCAAGGACACACTGCTCACTATGCCAAGTTTTCAGTTAATAGTTCTCTGGGAATCGCCTTGTTGGTGCAGAAATACAATTGTATGCCCATCAAACTCTTATTTTTGTCATTTTTCATAGACTCATCTGAAGAAATGGGATCAAATTAGGTCCTTTGTGACAGCCTGCTAGTAACAAACTGCCCTATTTATGCTTGATTCATAGGTCAGTGTTGAACAGAGATAGGCAGTAAGTATTGCAAAATCGGTAATTAGATTACCGTTACTTTCCCGTAGGAACACTGCGTTACAAAAACCGTGATTTTTTGCGCGAATGTCTCATGACAGTGACGTAAGCAAGTGCGCCGTTGGTGACAACAGCTGTGTGCAGGTCAACAGTGGATCATATATCGATTGTGGAAGAGAGTATGAGCATGCAGCGTCTAAAGCGTGGAAGTACTGACCTTACTTTGAGTTTGATTCCATAAAAAGTGACAAAAACATTAGCGTCCGTTGTGCGTGGGAAGAAAACTTTTTACAGCGAAAAAAAACCCCTAAACTTCCAAGCAAGCACCGAGTGCGCAACGACGTAATGGGAAATTCACAGAGAAACACTATGGCAAGCCATTAGAGCCAAAATTTGCCACTTTCCTAACCCGTTTGGTTAAGAAATGGCGTAAAAAACGCCGTTTAATTATTCAAAACGCCGGAAAAAAACGGCGTTCTGTTCCGACAAACGCCGCTTTTTCCGCCACTCGGATGGCGCCCTGAACGCACCATCCGAGTGACGTAAAAAACGGCGTTCAAAGACAGACGGAAACGCCGTTTTTTACGCTACTCGGCACAAAACGCCGTTTTTATGCATCTTTGAACGGCGTTTTTTACGGCGTTCTCTGCCAGCTGTAACGGCGTTTAAAACGGCGTTTTGTTGAAATTATGCAGGGCACTCCCCATGGTTCCCTCATCCAATTACTTTCAACTCATTTCACCCAATCAAAGAAGAGGAAGTGCAGACCACACTAATGCATCACCGATTCACCTTGCTGCTAAGTGATTGCCTATTCAGTACCAGTGCTTGTCACAGTATTCACTTGTATTATAATCCCACTATGCATTTTGATGTGTTTAAGGCATGATCGAGCAAACAAACGACAGAATACTTTTTCTGAAACCTTAACTGTGTTACCTGTTATGGCAGCTAACAGGTAATGAGCTGAGCTTCTTTCTTATTTTCCTCTTTACTTCTCTTAACCTTAAACTTATGTCTTAGCAATCAGATCCTGCCATCTTGCATTACCGCTTCGTGCTAGTTATGTTGACTTTTCTCTTCTTTTTACTCCACTTTTTTCACCCGTGTTTGGACACTCGGGGCATGGCTCCTTTGTTTACATTAGGGATCAGCCTATGGTAAACCTCCGCCTACCCCCCAGTCCTGCTTTACAGGTGAAAATAGAGCAACAGGACCGCTGAGTCTTTGACTTTATTTATTTTCTGCTGTGTTTTACTTGCATCTATTTGAAAGAGTGAGTGTAAACACAAAAAATATTTTATTTTATGTGCTGGAATGTGCAGAAAATAGGTTTAAATGTTAAACTAATTTATTCAAGTCAGAGAATGTTGCATATAATTAAATTTTTGCTTGATGCATAAAGTTAAAAGATTAAAACAAGTTAAAAAAAAAAGAGACTTTTCCATTTGATTACATTTTGTATGATGGATTATGCAGAAAAAGTAGAATTGGGCTGAAAGATCTATCGCTTTATCACCTCTTCAGGTTGTAAATCGTGGTTTTAAAAAGTAACTAAGTAACTAATTACTTTTGAAAATAAGTAATCAGTAAAGTAACGGGATTACCTTTTTGGGGAAGTAATCAGTAATTAGTTACTGATTACTTTTTTCAAGTAACTTGACCAACACTGGTGTTGAAGGGGCCGAACAAACAAAAGCAGTCCTTTGAAAATTGTCAACGGAATATATTTAAAATGGGTGGATAAAGCAGAAAAACAAAAGGCCTGAAGAGCTACTTCTTAAAAAAAATACAAGAAGATCTGGCTCCTTGGAAGCAAAATAAGAAGAAATGCAGACACTTTTGCTCAAGCATTTCTTTAGTTTGGAAAATAAATCGTAATGACTTTGAATTTTCCAGAAATTTAAATAAACTTTACTCAACACTGGCAAAAAGTTTTCAGCTGTGGGCAATCAACTTTGGTTTCTGAAGGGACGAATGATTAAACTGTTGTAACTTTACTCTAAAACCAAATCTTAATCATCAGTCAACCATGTGATGCTGTTAGGACCAGTCAAAAGATCCACACACTGGAGAGATGTGTTTAAGATTTTTCTTTTATCATAACAGAAAGAAGAAAACACACATGTATTTACTTTGTGGGGACCCTCAAAGACAATATGGATTAACCATTCTAATCTGAACCCGATTCCTCAGGCAGGGATCAACAAATGTCCCTCACAAGGTGTAAAATTCCCCACATAGACAGATATACAAGATCACACACACACACACACACACACACACACACATGCACAAAATGATATAACAAAGTCACACTTGTCTATGAGTCTTTATTTGTGTTTTTCATAGAGAACATTTAAAATGGTTCATACTCCCACAATAACTGACATCACTTCTCTGCTTTATAACACTGACACAGGAACAGGGGAACGTACACAAGTACACAAACAATCAGTCACAAAATTGGCCCATCTACAGTGTTTTACTTCCCAAACAAAAACAAATTAGGCAAAAAACCCAAACAAACAAACAGGAGACCCCAAGGACACACAGCCAAGGCCTGTCCCACTTTAAAAAACGTTGCTGTAGCAAAGGAACGACCACATCTACAAAAGTAACAAAAACCACCGTACAATCTATCGTTGTGGAAGTGCTTGTAATTTTGGAAGTTTTGTACTTTAAAAGGATATCAGTATCAATACCTAGAAAATCACCAGTAAAAATAGCTCATCTGTGTAAAAATGTGCTAGCAGGACAACCCTTGGCTGTGGATTTTTTTTTCTCTTTGTCACAACCTATTTTCTTTTTTTTTTTTCCTTTTTTTAAAACCATTTTCAACTCGTCTTCGATACAACAACAATAACACTGTTTCTTCTTAATACAAATATGTACAGACACTTCCACTTGTTTCAAAATAATGCCCTGCACACTAATGCATTATCTAGGGATGGATAGGATGATGATGATGATAATGATGATGATGTTCTTCAGATTCCTTCACAGAAACTGTCCATGCAGTTTTGGTACCTGAATCGACAGAATGGGATCACAGTTTCCTTAGGCTCGTTGTTTCGTGCCATCTCTGTCACAGAACGGCCTCTGCCTGGATGTGAAAACGCATATATTCGACATGATCGGCCCCAGCCCCTCCCCAAAGCTAACCCCGCCCCTGAACGTAAAACATCCAGATTCAGACCAAATGTTTTCAGCAGTATTTGAACCAGGTGTAAACATACCCTATCTCAAAATGAGTTCAGCGAGAAAGGCACACATGATAAGACCACACAGCTTGCGACTACAACAGGGAGGATGTTGGGGGTCTTTTGGTTTTGCTCAGCTTGATATTTCTTTCTTATTCTCAGTGTAGAGTGTGCGCGCGTGGGCATCAACCTGCTCTCGCCAGGTGACGATGCGCTCCCCTCCCCCGACCCCTCTGAAACAAGATTCTGGTTCCCCCGAATGTTTCATCAGGTTCAATTCAATTTTCGTCCCAGGTGCTTCGGGGGAAACTGAGCCCTGACCACTTTTGTTGTTCCTTTGCAATTTAGAATAATAAATCTGCTCACTCCATCACTCGGTACTTTTATGTAAATAAGAAAACATACAGTGTGTGGGCGCAGAACCAACCGTGGGCTGCATTTGCTTTCTCAGCTGACATTTTTTCTCTTTTTTTTGAAATGCTATGCTTTCATGGCCTCAGTGTTATTCATTTACATACCTCAGTAGACAGTTTCATCAAGCAGTTTAAAAGGGGTCATGCCTTATCAAATAAGTTGGGAGAATATTCAGTCTTAACACTCTCGGGTAGTATTCTCGTGCATTTCAAGAGAGGGAATACGCTACTTTGTTAACCAAATGCATCCAAACTATTTTTCCTGGAGAGAGGTTACACAAAATATGAGGAATGGGGTGTGTGTGTGTGTGTGTGTGTGTGTGGGGGGGGGGGGGGGGGGGGGGTCATGGTGTGGGGGCTTTGGCGGGGGGTGTGTGGGGAGTATAAAAGTCATAAAAGGCTCTGACATTCTTTTGAGTGACGGGCTCGTATTTATGCAACAAACGCCTCCTCCTAAAGCAAAGGGGAGATTGTGTAGCCGGGCAAATCAATTTCCCACTCCCACACACTCTTCTAGGCCTTGATCCAGCCGCTGCTGTTGCCTCTAGCCTCAGCTGACTGGCTGACCTATGGCATTGCTCTGCTCTGCTTTAGCAGCTCTCCCCAATCACCTGAGAACCAAACTCTGCTTCCCATCAGTCTCTTTTGGTTGTTCTTTTTTTCCTGTTTGTTTGGAAAAGAAAGTACCACTTCCTTTTTTAAAAAATACATTTTGAACCCCCTGAATGAAACGGCTTGTTTTTTTGTGTGTTTTTTTCTATGTGACAAACAGGCGGGACAATTGCCTGTCATCTATCTATTGGGTTTCTTACAAGTCAGGACTTAAAATGCTGGCATCTTCAACAGTTATTGAGAAAGTGCACAAAGGAGATTCATTCTACATTGGCTAAAAGCACATTGAAAACATGCCTTCGACATCAGAGTTACACACGGGGTCGTGTACACCACAGCAGGTGCAACGCAAAGGCAGGTTACACTACGGTCTTCTACTTGCTCACTTCAGTATCGGAAAGCTCACAGAGCATGAGCTGTTTCCATTATTAACACAATCACTGCACAATGTTGCTAAACACTATGCGCATTACTCAGAGGCATCATCATCGTCTTTTTTTGTGTTTTTTTTTCAAAAAAATTTTCATACATGAACTCACATGACACTTAGGAACAAAGAGCCAACCATCTAAACTGATGGTTTCATTTCTCAGATTCAGTAGTACAACATACAGTAGATGTTTCTGACATTTCTGGATCAGGGACAGACAAGGAAAGAAAATTTTAAAAAAGGAATCCTATGAGAACACTTCCAAAGTATTGTACTGTATCATAGCCTTCAGCTTTGACTCAATGGTATGTTTAAAGCCACAGTTGAGCAGGTCTTAGTGATATTAATTAAGGTGTAACTGCCTCCTACTGATAATCCCTCCTCATTTCTCTTTCCAATAAGCTAGTGATCTTTTGATAAGGATATACAAGAGAAGAAGAAGAAGAGCAAGTCAACAATTACACTGTAAAAATATATGTATGTTTATATTCATATATATATATATGTATATATATAGCATCTTTAAAATCTATTTATACAGAATGTATATATAGTGTACTTATGGCCATCTTGGCAGAGAAATAAAGGCATCTGAAACAATCACCACTCTCTCGATGCTGTGGTCTCCTCAGGACCAGACATTGTTACATTGCAGAAATGCGAAGAGTCAGGAAAGAAAGTGAGTTCTCTTCTTCTCCTTTATTTATTTATTTTTTAGTGGCACTTTGTGCATCAAAAAATTAAAATCTAGAGTAAGGCTACAAGGGTGTGTATGTTTATCTGATAAAAGTTTGTCAAAGGAGGCCATCCTACAGTATCCTCGAGGGTTGGATATGTCGCTGTGTGTGTTTTAGACTCGTACATCCAGACTAAAACACTGCTGGAATAGAGCTCTATACATGTACCACTGCACTGATGTAAAGAATTCAAAACCGTCACTTAAACAGCCATGGTACGTCACAGAGATTGTGGGTGAGCCACTTCTGGCTGCTACAAAGCGCTTGGGAGAGGTAACATTTTTTTAAATTCCTCTACAAATTGTTCTCATCACCTGACAAAAGCAAATACTCAGAGGATAGTGAAAGTGATTGCTTTTGAGTGTTTTTTTTTGTTTGTTTGTTTGTTTTGTTTTGTTTTTTAACAATCAGCTGCTGGTACATCTATGCCTAAGCAATCAAACAGTATTTGTACTGATTTTATTTATTTTTTCGTTCTTTATTTAAATATTAGCAGAGGATCTTTAAGACTACTCAGACTCAACTGTCACATCACGCACATAAATAACAAAATAAATATACAGCCATATCAGTCAATTTCTTTCATATTAAATAAATAATAAATACATACTTTCTTTTTGTTTTCATCTCCTCATCTGTGTTTTTTTAATGTAACAGAAAGAACACAAACAAAATAAAAACGAGGAAAACAAGAGCAACAAGCCAAAAAAATATTTTTTTTTACTGTAAAATTATCAAAAAAAATTTGAGTCTATTATAAAATATTTGCACTTAAAAAGGATTTTTAAAAAGTACTCCAAAACAAACTATGCCTTGTCATTTATCTATATAGACTTTTAAAATATTGACGTACGACATCTGCAAATTGCTTTTTGACCTTGATAATCAGTAAAGATGCATTTGTATGTGTGTGTTTCACTAAACAAAGTTAATAAATAGATTGCTTCAAATAAATAAACCTCAATAACATAAATGGCAATAAGTTACAATTTAAAAGTTCACAGGTATAAATAATTCATATATAACAATAATTATTGTACCACAAAAACTAGTCATTGAAATGAAGTGCAATTCCTAGGCTGATAAGTACTATAGATATGACTAACTGAATTCGAAATGTGTGCACACTATTACTATCATTTTATTGGGGGGGTGGGGGGGTGGCTGCAGCGTTTAAATCTAACTCGCGACCTTGCTCGATGAGGTTTTTTTTCCCCACTGATGATTGCTGCAGTAATACCACCAAGCAAACGCACATTCAGTTTGGTGCATGCCGGGGGGTGTGGTGCGAGTATGGTTGTGGATCAGAGAGATTTTCAGAGCTGCAGATGCTTGCCATTGAGAATGCTACAGGAGACAGTGGCGTTGGGAGTCTTCTGCTCCAGTTAGTGTTCCTCTTCCTGTCTCCGGGCTCTGGTGAGCAATACTCGAGCCTCGCCTGTCTCAGTGTTCCGGCCGAGGAGAAATGCTAAAAAACTGACTGACCAGTTGCGAAACCCTCTCCGAAAAACAGTTAAGGACACAAAAGAGACAACAGGTAAACATACAGTATATTTAAACCCCCAGATACAGCTTCTAGTAACATGGATCTTATTCTGGTTCCTCCTTTGAATCCCAGCAGCAGCATGATGTGGATTTTGGTCCGCGTCACTTTTCTTCAACAGAGTGCTCCCTGGGTTGATTTTTTTAAGTTGCCATTTACTTAAATAACCTGAATTCCCTTTTTTTGTTTTTGAATCATATTTCGATATATCATAGAGCTTTTCAACCTCTCTCCTTCCTGACTCCACCTCCACCGTGTTCTCCGCACTTTGGGACAGTTTGCGTTCTCCATTTGTATGTGTGGAGCCTCAAACCTTGATGCCCTTCACAGCTTTGTTGATGCTCTCCAGCAGAGCCTTGTTCTCGGGGCTCTGGAAGCAGTCCTTGTTGGTGTACATGTCAGTCAGGGTGCTGATGTATCTGTCAAAGTTCTGCTCTGTGATTGGCTCCTGCTGTGGTGCAAATGAAAACCAATCTCAACTGAGGGGGGCAAACAGAAACAAGGCTCCACACGCTCTTCAGCGCACCAGATTTGCCTTCAAACAAATGCACAATCAATGACAACAGGGTGTGAATGCGGACTTACCATGTGCGGCAGACGGATATTAGCCAGGCTGCGGATGAGGGCTCGGCTCAGACCAGACAGCTCCATGAACAGAGCCTCATTCTGCTCCTCAATCATCTTATTCTCGTGCTCAATGCTTTTCAGGTTCTTCTCCATAGAGGAGATCTGCAACGCACAGCAGCAGACCATCAGCAAATGTTTTAATATTCAACTAGAAATTCATATCTATTTAATAACAGCTGTGGTGACTGGCAATGTAGTGGCCATAGTCCAGACATTATACAGACATTTTTGTCTTCTCTAGTGGCTCGCACCATCTTCATTGTTCCTGGGTCCACAAATCTAATGTTGGTTCCAGTTCAACATTGCAAGTAACCAGTCAGATTGTAGCGATGACATAATTTTGGGATGTGGAAACACCATGCATCACACATCACAACAATGTGATTGGTCAGATGCAATACTGATACTGGACAATTTTTACCCATCTTTAAAGTGTCCTGCTGCCTGCAGTGCTCTTTAGAGTCTTAACTGCAGAAACTGTAATCCTGGTAAAAGACGTTCCAGATAAATATCCTCCTAAAATTATAGTTCTCTATTCATTCTCAACAGTGTCATGCTTATGAAACCAAGGTTTCATAAGGTGGTGACAGTGATCAATAATTACTTTATCTCTTTTGCAAGAGACTGGCTAAGGTAGGCAGTACTGCTGTTGCATGGAGAAACTGGAGCTCCTCGAGAAAACAAGAGCATACACTGAAGATCACACTAAAGGGGAAAAAAAACCCCCAACAACAAACACACACCTGAGTCTGCAGGTTGACCATGTCAGCCTCCATTTCATTGTTGGATTCATTAAGGTCATTAATCTCTTTGTTGAGCTGCTTGATGTCCTCATCATTGTCCAAAACTAAAGGAGAGGCGAAGAGAAAAGCACGTTTTGCAAAAAAAAAACCCCCAAAAGAAAACAGAAAAAAAACTCTATTCTAACATTGGCATTTTTATTATTTGACTCAGTAACAAGGGGGGGGATTTTCCGCTCAGTAAACACATAGATTTTTCTTAATTAACCATCGTACCATCACTGGCTCTGAACTTAGTGCTCAGATAGTCTTCTGTAGGGAACTTGGCCTTCTTCTTAGCATACAAAGCTCTGGGGCATCCTGAGAGGCTGAAATGAAATTCAGAGAGGGTCAAATTTAACATTACATCTACATAAAGAACATTATAAGTTACAGTGGCATGTGTTAGTTATATACTGCTGCTATGGGGGAAAAGCTTAGCCTAGAAAAATAACTGGAAACGGCAAGACAGACTATTTAACACATGGTGAAAACATCTCAATATTCTTATTTAACTTTCGACAAAGCAAATAAATATTTCCAAAGTGTTCAAGTGCTCATCTTTAACTATCAAGCTGTAAATTAGCTTAACTTAGAATAAAGACTTGACTACGTTTAAATCAGTTTAAAGTTGAAAATGACCAACTTATGGGGTGTTTACAGAGATTTGCGTATTCTTCTTTGGGTCAGACATAGCGATTTAAAAATATAGTATCAAACTGAAGCTTTACATTTTAGCATTTGTGATAAATTTTTAAAAGAGATAACTAAATAACTAAAATATCCACACATTAAAAAAGAGAGATTCAGAGATACTTGGCCGTTGGCTGCATTTTATAAAATCTGAATTCCTCATTTAATCGATTTGTTTCAAATTTGAAGATACTGATCAAAGCCTAAGCTTACCTGCGGTGTGTGAGGAAACTTCCGTTAGCATGTCCAGAGCCATCACAACCTGGGGTGGGGCAGGTTGGACCCTCTGTCTTGAAGGCCTTCCAGTTGAATGGCGTGCCATTCAGAAGACCCTCCTTTTGTCTACGGGCCGCCAGCGGGCACCCGTAAGCGCTACGATGTGTGGCGTACTTTCCACTGATGTGGCCCAGGCTGTCACAGCCCGGCACCGGACATCTGCAGAGAGCAGAGGTGGTAAGAAGAAGAAGAGAGGAGAAGAAAAAGTATGGAAGACAGGAAGCAGATACGGAAAGAAAGAGAATGACGGGGCACAAAGGTTAGACAAGGAGAATGCAAAAATGAAAGTAAAGCGAAAACTAAGATAATTCTTATCTTAAAAACTGAAAGGTTTTTAGCAGTTTTGCTAAATTCTGTATTGGACATATTATTACAATGCAAGATATTGCTGACAAATGAGCTATTACAATTTGGTACATGCTTTCTCCACATACTGTTATATTAACAGTTTTGTGTGCAATATGAAGCCCATGTATTTCTTATGTAATAACAATGTACTCTGCAATAGTCTACCATGAATTATATTCAGAATCAGTATCTGCAGTAAGTGTATTTTCCCATGAGTAAGTTGATTCAGTTACGGGGACAGATCACTACCTCTGCATATGATTCACAGTGACTTTCCTCTCTTTCTTTCTCTGTCTCTCTCTCTCTCTCGCTCTCTCTTTCCTTTATTGCATTTTAGTTTTACCGTCAGTCATGCTAAAAGCAGACGTTATGACTTTCTGAGCGGTACGAACTTTAAAAGCTCGGAGTCCTCCTGGTTGTCCTTGGCAGGAGTTTTAATTCCACTTTTCTTGGCACGCGGGCACCCAGAGAGACTGAAAACAGAAAGTATGGAGTTGATAACATAGGGCTGGAAAGAAAAGGTCTGGTGAAGTGATTACTTAATAAAGGAAGAGAACATGGTAAGGAAGAATAATTTTACAGAGGTTCTTCAACCAAATGACAAACCAAATCCATTGAAAAACGCCTAATATGGATGAAAATAGGATTATGTGTATGTGGTGCCTGTCTAATCTATCGTGAACTGTCGCTAGGCCTCTCTGACTAGCTATACATATGTATGTTTGTGTATGTGTGTGTGTGTGTGTGTGCACGCGCATTTGTGTTCTGTTACCTTCTGTGTGAGGCATAGTTTCCTGTGATGTGACCTGAGCCGTCACATCCGGGAGTGGGGCATCTAGGGAAAAAAAACAAAGCAATGTTCAAAGTTAGGCAGAAAAAATTAACACAGGGAGTTTTCACAACTGAAAACTGAGGTTTACTATTTATCTGCTTAATCTTAAACAAACGATCACAATGTGTATATTCAATTCAGTTCCGTTTTATTGATATACTGCCAAATCACAACAATAGTCACCTCAAGGCCCTTAATATTGTAAGGCCCTAAAACAATACAGCAAAACCACATCAATCAGATGGCCCCCTGTGTGCAAACACTTTGGCAACAGTGAGAAGGAAAAACTCCCTTTTAACAGGAAGAAACCTCTGGCAGAACCAAGCTGAGGGAGGGGCTGAGAGAGGTGTCTCCCAGATTCACCCACCCTTGAAACCTTGAGACACTAAAAGTCTAGCTGTTGTTTTAGACTCCCTTGGTACCGTCAGCTCATGAATGGCACACAGCTTTCTCAGCTGCGCCTCACAAAATCAGAAATCATATTTCTTAGCCATTGCAATACAACTTTCATTCTAAAAGTGACCTAATCTGCTAACATGGAAGAGTATAGTTTCAGAACCACACATCAACGACGCGCTTTTCTCTCTTCTCTTTCCACTCGCCCCTTCCAGACCGGGTCTGCCTGAGGCGTCTTCATGTTAAAAGGGAATTCTTCTTTCCCACTGTTTCTAAGTGCTTACACATAGTTGTCTGATCTTTGAGGTTCTCTGTCTAATCTTTCATTATTATTATTATTATTATTATTAATAATAATAATAATAATAATGTTGTTGTTGTTGTCTTTACAATAATAATGAACACTTGCTGTGAAGTGGTGCTATATAAATGTAATTGTAATGACCAAGAAGTTGCTTCTGTTCATAGATGTTGTGTTTTCAGTGGGAGAAATGTTTATTTTCATCTAAGTGACTATTTCAGTCAAACACCAAAGATCTTGTCTAGTCCTGTCTTTCAAATAAGGCCCATGGTCAAAATTAATCCACTGATCTTAAAAAAATAAAATAAATTCAGCCCTTTTTTCCCTTCTAGGCTTCAGTTTCCTCCTTTCTGATACGCACACAAAAAACTCTCTCTGGACTCTGGTTTAGTTCTGAGTGATCATCATTGAACACATATCATCCCAATCCTGCCCAGCCATTTACACCTTGTATTTGTATTAGAACTGATTTTAGGATTTTATAGATCTATAATTTTTTTTAATGTATTTTTTTTATATTTGTCAGCTGCTTTTCAGCTTACCTGTGTATAATTGTATAACTGTGTTATAATTGATTTATTGCTTGTTTTAGTATTTATCAATTACATTGATAATTTGCATTTTGTATTGTATTGTAAGCTCTGATTTCACCGTGCTATATGAAAAAGTTATTCTAGCTTTCCAGGCTCTTTGCCATTCGAACACACCCGGTATCTGTACATGTTGAGCTGTGAAAAGCCTTTGTAAGTTTCATTCACATTTACATGAAGTAATTGAAGTGAAAGCAAGCACAGACACAGGAAAAACCACCATGACAGATGCAGCGGTAGCACAGAAAGCAGCCAGCAACAATAGATAAGTTAACGTCAGCAGAATGAAGTGCTGTGGTGCTGGACAGTGTCAGTAGCAGTGAGCTGAAGTGGCAGCGAAAAGGCAGTGAAGGTGTAGAGCAGACATACTTGAGTTCAGGGGTGTGGGCCGCCATGAGGGACCGAAGGCTCTTATCAGCGAGAGGACACCCAGACAGACTGAGAGAGAAAAGACAGGCAGAGGAAGAGAAGGACGAAAAGGGGGGAAGCAAGGGGTGAGAGGGGGTTGAAAGGAGAGAGGAGAAAGATGTGAGTAAAGGGAAATCAAGAATGCAAGGCATACCAAGGTCATTTAGCAAGAAGAGGACAGACAGCAAGAAGTAAATTACTGATGCATATCAAAGTCAATGACCGTCTTTGCTTCCTGGGCTCACGCTACATTATTGCCTCTGGCATGTCAGGATCAAATAAAATGTTTGAATTAGTCTCGGTGTGCCGGCTTTGGAGTGAGAAGCAGAGGGAGAGTCTCAGTAGATCTAACATTTCATGTACAAGCTTATATAGAAAGCAGCAGTGCACACTAGTGCCCGAATAAGCCTACATACCTGCGATGGGACGCATAGTTCCCAGTGATGTGGCCGCTGCCATCACAGCCAGGTGTTGGACACCTGCAGAGGGGACAGACACGCAGTTAGCAGTGGCAGAAGGAGAAAGCGACAACTTTAGGGATTAGATGTACAAAGTTATTTTTTATAAAGGAAAAACAGAGGCTGATCATACACCTATATTCACGGCAAATATATACATAGAGTTTACATAGAAGGTCGTTAGTTGTAAGGTTCCCATAAATACCTGGGGGTAGTACATTTGTACACACTCTGATGGAACGATCAGAGTGTCACTACCCTTCTCACAAAGCACCAGACGTTCAGGGATGATTTTTATCCCGGTTGGCTGGTCATGGCCTTAAACTCACATCCACAGAACATCTAAATGTGGTTGAAAATTGCAATATGAAAAGTCATCTTTTCAGGATGTTACAACAAACTAGTTTCAACCTAATTTCACTAATAGCCCACTGAGCAATTTTCTGTTTATCAGAGCTTTAAAAGACGTCTAAATGGTACATGCTAAAACAGGGTTACATGTGGTTCAAGGGTCAATGTTTAGTAGATTTCTACATCACACCGAGCAGGTTGTTTGTTTTTTTCCAGAGCAAATACATGTGTCTGTGTGTTCTAACTTTAATAATTGATTAACAAAGGATTGCGGCCAGACTATCACGCAACATTCTCTCTCTCTCTCTCTCTCTCTCTCTCTCTCTCTCTATATATATATATATATATATATATATATATTGCTTAGAATTGTACAAGATCAACAGGACCCTAAGAGCCTTCATCAGGAACTCAATGGGGATGTGGCGTACAACACTAGAGGCCAACTCCAAGCCCATAGCACAAGTCACCATCAAGTGCGGGATCTACCAAGGAGATGCTCTGTCTCCAGTGCTGTTCTGCATATGCTTGAACCCCCTCAGTGAGGTCATTAACAAGACTGGCTACGGATACAGACTACGGAATGGAGCAGCTGTCAGCCACCTCCTGTACATGGATGACATCAAGCTGTATGCCAAGAATGAATGAGACATCGATTCACTGATCCACACTACCAGGCTATACAGCAATGACATTGGAATGTCGTTCGGACTAGAGAAGTGTAGTCGAATGGTAACAAAGAGAGGGAAGGTAGTCAGAACTGAGGGGATTGAACTACCAGAAGGCCACATTGCAGACATAGAGGACAGTTACAAGTACCTGGGGATCCCGCAGGCAAATGGGAACCATGAAGAGGCCGCTAGAAAGGCTGCAACCACCAAGTACCTGCAGAGGGTCAGGCAAGTCCTGAGGAGTCAGCTGAATGGTAAGAACAAGATCCGGGCCATCAACACGTACGCCCTGCCCGTGATCAGGTACCCTGCTGGGGTAATAGGCTGGCCAAAGGAGGAGATAGAAGCCACTGACATAAAGACAAGAAAGCTCCTTACCATGCATGGAGGGTTTCACCCCAAGTCCAGCACCCTGAGGCTGTACGCTAAGCGGAAGGAAGGGGCCGGGGACTGGTGAGTGTCAGCACCACAGTCCAGGATGAGACAACGAACATCCAAGAATACATTGGGAAGATAGCCCCAACTGACCGAGTGCTCAGTGAATACCTCAGGCAGCAGAAACCCAAGAAAGAGGAGGGAGACGAGGAACCATCATGGAAGGACAGGGCCCTGCACGGTATGTACCACCGGCAGATAGAGGAGGTGGCTGATATCCAGAAATCCTACCAGTGGCTGGACAAAGCTGGACTGAAAGACAGCACAGAGGCACTAATCATGGCAGCACAAGAACAAGCTCTGAGTACAAGATCCATAGAGGCTGGGGTCTATCACACCAGGCAAGACCCCAGGTGCAGGCTGTGTAAAGATGCCCCAGAGACAATCCAGCACATAACAGCAGGGTGCAAGATGCTAGCAGGCAAGGCATACATGGAACGCCATAACCAAGTGGCCGGCATAGTGTACAGGAACATCTGTACCGAGTATAACCTGGAAGTCCCAAGGTCAAAATGAGAGATGCCCCCAAGGGTGGTGGAGAATGACCGAGCTAAGATCCTGTGGGACTTCCAGATACAGACGGACAAAATGGTGGTGGCTAACCAACCGGACATAGTGGTGGTAGACAAACAGAAGAAGATGGCCGTAGTGATCGATGTAGCGGTTCGGAATGACAGCAATATCAGGAAGAAGGAACACGAGAAGCTGGAGAAATTCCAAGGGCTCAGAGAAGAGCTCGAGAGGATGTGGAGGGTGAAGGTAACGGTGGTCCCCGTTGTAATCGGAGCACTAGGTGTGGTGACTCCCAAACTAGGCGAGTGGCTCCAGCAGATCCCGGGAACAACATCGGAGATCTCTGTCCAGAAGAGCGCAGTCCTGGGAAGAGCTAAGATACTGCTGGGTGTTTTTATATATATATATATATATATATATATATATATATATATATATATATATATATATATATATATTAGGGGTGCAACGATATTCGTATCTATATTGAACCGTTCGATACAGTGCTTTCGGTTCGGTACGCATATGTATCGAACAATACAACATTTGTAATTTATTTTATCAACTTTCCTTCTGACGATGCTGTCTGTGTTGAGCGCTCAGTGAATCTGCGTTCGACTACTCCGCCTAGGCTGCACTGTCGAGCGCAGATCCACTGAGCGCTCAACACAGACAGCATACTCAGAAGGAAGAGTGCAGGGCAAGCTAGCAAGACAGAAGTTAAGCTCTCCTTGCAACATGGACCTCCCCCACCCTCATTCAGATCTGGCATTTGGAATTATTTTGGTTTTCATGTGACGTATGACCCTGAAGGTAAGCGAGTCATGGACTAAAGTAAAACAGTACGTTGGATGTGCCATGCAATGCTCAATTACATGGGTGGGAAACTAGTGTGTTAGCGCAGTTAGCTCGTTAACGTGTTGGCCGTCTAGCCCCATGCACGGGGCGATCGGCGGTAGCTCGTTAACGGAGATTTGCCGTGTTGTGGCGTTAAGGTCATTTCAACGAGATTAACCTGAAAGCACTAGTGGGAACACAACGAATATGACTGCACATTTACGCCGACATCATCCTAGTGCAAAGACAAAAACAACAAGCATGCTACTAACTTTAGCCGAGTCATTTAGACAGCTGTTAGCACATGATTCTCCTTATGCTGCTGAGAATATAGCCCAGAAGAAGCGGATAGTATAGCTTTTATTTTGGAAAGAGACATTTCTCTGTAATAAACTCTCTTTTCCAAAGATGAGTGATTCCTCAATCAGATACAGGGCTTGCAATATTGCTAGCCCGACGTCCCGGGGCTAGCGATTTTTCCAGTCAGGCTACCAAAATCTATCTCTGCCCTGCCCGTCGGGCTATTGTAGGAAGGAAAAATATATGTCAATGCTTTTGCATTCTTTCAGAAATGTAGCTGGGTAATTATGTCATTGGCATCGGTGAGCCACTGTCAATATGTGACATATTGAAATCGCGTTTGAATTTGCGCTTGTTTTTTTGCTTTCACTTTGCAATCGTGCGAACTGTGTATAGAGAGCGACAGCACTGATCTGTGAGTGATGATAATTTGTGCACCAATTCCTCTGACATCGTCTTATTAATCGTTAGCTTACTATGCAAACATGACAAGTGAAATCTCCCACAGCAAGCTTAAACATGTGAGAGGTTGATCGCGCAGAGAATCGCTGAGCTTATGTGAGTGCGTGTGTAAAAGCAGCAGGATATATATTTTAGTTCTGCTGAGCCAAATAAGACAGGTCAGGGTGAAGAAGTGACAGCCAAAGAAAAGCTTACCACAAAACGGAGAAGTTATGACAAATCAGACTATAAGGCAAAAAGAAAGTGCAGCTTCATGGTTTCATGGACAAAATAATTTCTGTGGCTACAATATGACGAGCTAAATAACCAGGGCTGCACATAAGTGGTCCGCAGGTGCGCATTCACTGTCAAAATAAAAAACACGCACAAGGGTTAGGGTTAAATTTAAAAACTGTACTTTTGAGTTAAAATATATATTTATAATTTTAATAAATGACAAATTAAAAAGGCATGAACATTTTTTTGTATTGAAAAAATATCGAACCGTGACACCAAAGTATCGAACCGAACCGAACCGAACCGTGAATTTTGTGTATCGTTGTACCCCTAATAAATAAATATGTATATATATATATATATATATATATATATATATATATATATATATATATTTTTTTTTTTTTTTTTTTTTTTTTTTTTTGCAAGCTTTTTTGTGCGAGTCTCTGGACAGTCAGAACGGTGGTATAGTGGTGAGTATTACTGGCTCAACATGAGAAAGTTCTGCTAGTCAACAGAAATCTCTTCTTTAACTTTTATTTAGAACTAAAAGGATGTCTTTTTCTACATCCCTTTTCACTGATCTTTGTACTGAACTGTAGGGATGGCAAAAAAATCACTACAGCACAGTATCGATATAGGAACACTAAACATTGATATTTTTTATGAAATTAATTAAAATACCATGGGAGCACTATGAACAAGAGTGCTGATTAAATGTGAAGATATGTTAAAACCGAAAAACCACCACTTAGCTTGACAAAGCTACCTCATAACGAAGTGCAAGTTTATGGTTTTAGTCACACGAGTAAAAAATACAACATCAACCTTTGTGCATCTACAAAAAAGATCAGTGACTTGTGACTATAGTGAATTTTGTCACATTTGGTGATCAGTTGCAACTCATAGTGATGGCTTGAGGGTGTTGATTGCAAGGTAATTGGATTGCACAGGTTGCCTGATAGGAGGCTCCATTTCTACAAGCAGTCTGCAATCACTCTCAGAGAGATTGTCAAAGATTTGCAAATAACTGCTATTAAATGTATACATTTATAAATTCAGACAGATTGCCAGCATGTTGCCATCAGTCTGAATGAGTCTGTCAATGAACACAACGCGAGGGGCCTCAACTCTGGTTTTGTTCTGCTTATATTCCTATGAAACAGAAACGTTACAGTTAAATGTGAATTTCTGTTTATTTAGACAGCAAATGGATATGTGATTTATCACAGTTAATTGCTGTTTTATCAAAAACAGATTTCATGTAATTGCCAACTTGACCTCATTCAACTGCAAACTGGTAGCAGATTGATAGCAGACTGACTCTTATAACAATTTATGGCAGGTTTTAGTGACAGTGTTGTTTTGCTGCAAAAAGAAAAAACATATTCAATAAAACAGATATTGACAAAGTGTAAATTTGAGGGAATATTTTGTAGTTTTAAAAAGGTGATAAATTACAGTATATGTTATTGCAGTAATCAGGATGCAAAATGTTAAAAATCACAGTAATACTGTAACTGAACCCTGACTCCTCCCTTAGTAATGCTGCAATTATGATGCATTGAGTATTTTTTCCTCACCTTTCTCCCTCACTATGTGTTAATAGACCTCTCTGCATTGAATCATACTTGTTATTAATATGTGGCTCTCTTTCAGAGCATGTATTTCATCCTGTCTCCCTTCTCTCTCCCCAACCGTTTGCAGCAGATGGCCCCGCCCCTCCCTGAGCCTGATTCTGCTGGAGGTTTCTTCCTGTTAAAAGGGAGTTTTTCCTTCCCACTGTCACCAAAGTGCTTGCTCATAGGGGATCTAATGATTGTTGGGTTTTTTCCTCTGTATGTATTAAAGTAGGGTACTTTACAATGTAAAGCACCTTGAGGTGACTGTTGTCGTATAAATAAAAGTGAATTGAATTGAATTGAATTAACCTTGAGTTCAGTTGAGATATTATGATATTGTTGGGTATGTATCGATTCCCTCTACTAACATAAAGAGAAAACTTTTTCATTTTTTAGCCAAATCTCAACATCATGTCTAATAAAATCTTCTTCTTCTATTTCCTTTAAATTAGTTTTTTATGATTATTTCTTAACCTGGGTTGATGTAATTAAGCACATATAATCTTATGTCTGTGAAGGTTCTCAGTCATCCAGGTCATCGTAGTCAAAGGAGCTTGCAAAGAAAAGCACCTGGGTCAAAATCAAGACACAAGAAGTGGAATCCTTCACTGCGCACATTAACTCTGTGGATAAAAACATCAAGTTCACCAGGGAAGACACAAAGGACAACTGTTTGCCTTTCCTGGACTGCGCTGTGCACATTGAAGAGAATGGCAACCTCAACATCGAAGTTTACCGGAAGCCCACACACACGGACCAGTACCTCCTGTTCGACTCCCATCACCCTCTGGAACACAAACTTGGAGTAATTAGGACCCTACACCACCGGGCAGAACATGTTTCCTCTAAGCCTGAAGGAAAAAAGAAGGAACACACACATGTAAAGGAAGCACTCAAAAGGTGCGGCTATCCTAAATGGGCATTCTTAAAGTCAGCAAAGAGGCACAGAAAAGAAGATCAGACACCAGCGAGGGAGGATAAGAAGGACAGACGCAACAACATTGTCATCCCCTATGTAGCCGGTGTATCAGAAAAACTCAGGAGAGTTTTCTCCAAGCACGACATCCCGGTGCATTTCAGACCCAGCAACACGCTCAGACAAAAACTGGTTCACCCGAAAGACAAAATGCCAAAACACAGACTTAACAATGTGGTGTATGCTGTACAGTGCAGCGAGGAATGCCCAGACCTCTACATTGGAGAGACCAAACAGCCACTTCACAAGCGCATGGCACAACACAGAAGAGCCACCTCCACAGGACAAGACTCAGCAGTCCATCTGCATCTTAGGATAAAGGACACTCTTTCGAGGATGCCAATGTTCACATTTTGGACAGAGAGGACAGATGGTTTGAAAGAGGAGTGAAAGAAGCCATCTATGTCCACTGTGAGCGACCATCTTTGAACAGAAGCGGGGGTTTACGACACCAACTCTCTGCCATCTATAATCCAGTTTTGAGATCCCTTCCCAGACGCCTTAATGCCCACTCACATCCTGGGCCATCTGACCTCAGGAATTCGCATGATAAGGTGGGGCCAGGTTTCACAATGAACTCACCCGAAACTCTGGCTGATTGGGACCCACGCCCAGTTTCACACCTTGGCTCAGGCGATTAGAGGATCATCAGGGGGTCCTTTTGTCCCTCTGTGGGGGGATACTCCCACTAGGTTTATATCTGGGACTCTCCACCATTTGACCTTAGAACTGAAGAAGCTTCTCGGATGAGAGGTGAAACGTCTTCAAGCAACTTAAAGAAGTCCAGACGCTTTTCTTTGCAAGCTCCTTTGACCACATATAATCTTGTTACCCATCAGGATATAAGAATGACTTCTAACTCATTGCCTTATTACTTACGAGAGCAACTCCTTCTTGCTATCTTTGGGCTGAAATTTGACCTTGAAGCTTGGGGTTGTGACCTCTCCTGGGTATTTCCTCTCCTCTAGGCAATCCTGCATCATGTCACAGTCCTCTGGTTCGGATGAGACGTACGACTGGCCGGTATGCTCCATCTGAAAAGTGATTAACACACTGGTAAATCCACTGCAGGCCTTTTGCTCTTTAAATTGTGGCTTGACCTATTATCTGAATTTAGTTTTTTAAATATCTGCTTCCAGGTAATAGTTTGCTATTGTATATCTGAATGCAAGCAAAGAAACTTTGCAAACACCATGTGCACACAATCCTCTTTTATTCTTTTGCAGACAAGTGATGTTTCCAAATGCAGAGTGTCCTCATAAAAAATTAACATTCAAGGCCCTTTATATTTCTTTTGAAAAAGTTCAAAGGAGTAAAAATTAGCATATGCCAAATCCAGGATGGTGCAATGCACCTGACACACTACCTCTGTTACACAGTGCAATGTTTTAACTGTACAGTAACTCTCACATTTCAGTGAAATAAATGAATAATACAAAGAGGAAAAGGGAACAGGGAATAAGAAAAGGGAATTACACAAAGACAAAGTGATGTAAACAATTAAGAGTTTTTCATTCAAAAGGCTTAGGGGGAATTTTGTCTGTTGTTATTTATGTCGCAATATCTCCTCTGTGAGTAACATCTGAGGAAATACACCGTGTTTGGAGCTCGTACTTTTGTTCTGTCTAATTGTACTGACCTCATCCATTTCCTCCTCTCTTTGACGGTTAGGTTTGGTGTAATCCAGAGGTCCCTCCCAGTCCTCCTGCTTGTAGGTGTGTATGCTTGGTGATGTCATCCCGCTGTTTCCACCATGATGCAGTGAGGAAGAGGAGGAGGAAGGGTCTGGAGACCGAACGCCGGGGCTCGTCCCAGACAGACTTCCCTCTCGTTTAATGGGTTTTTTCATGCTCAGGTCCAGGGTGCCGTTCTCATCCACTTCAATGTCCATTTCCTGGAGACAATGCAACAGGAATTTATAGCTGAGCCTATGTTATTACCTGCTTATAAGTATCCTTGTAATTTTCAGTTGAGCCCCAATTTGAGACTTCAACAAATAAATAATTTTAGACAAGTGACAGTGAAGTACCAAATGAAAAATGATTAATAATATCCCTATATGCCCACTTTGAGGGTATACTACACACGAAATAGTCTGCTGAAATCTGCACTGAGATACCATTACAGTAGAATTTAATTGAGCTTTGGGCATACAGAACTTAGTCTTACACACATTCATGTCATTATTTGAAACTTTTGCCCTGTTTGAAACTTGAGTTTTAAAATATATTTGTTTTTATTGCAGCTCACTCTGTATATGAATGCAATTATGCTTTATTTCCTGTTAAAAACTTTGGAGCTCAGTGCATAATCTGGGAGAAAATTAATGGAGAAACACAGCTAACTAATACATCTAATTAAGTATTCTCAAATGTGAATAACTAATGCAGTCTCCTCTGGTGCACTTCACTGTATATGTGAGGCAGTCCTGTGTGATGATGATTGGGATTATTTTAATTACCCTCTTGAGCAGATTCTGATGCAGCGCTACATATCTGCCTGAATTCTAATTTCATATATTCTAAATAAAAACTGAACTTTCATGTGGAGAAATGTTGCTTTCGCTTCTACCTGCTTGTAAAACTGCCCTCGAGCCTGTATCAAACAAGCATTTTCACAGTCATGCACCAGAGTGACGGCCTCTTTCAGAGCACTACACACTCAAGTTCAGAACACCAGCCTCATCGCCTAAGCATGTTAGTCATGATATCTAATGTACTCTGGTGCCAACAGCACGAACACTGTGCTCCATCTCTCCATGCTTTATTATAGTTCTGGCAGGTGAAGAGAAACAGAAGGGTGAAAAGAGCAATGTTTTCAGCATTCATGTAAAATGGTGCTCATATGGGCTGGTCAAGGGCCAGAAAATTCAAAGGGTTAGGAGAAGAGGAGAGAAAATGGGAACAGTTCCCAGAAATGTCCCAGGTTGATGAGCTCAGTGTTCCAGTGTTTCAATATTGGATTTCAACTGGCTCCAACTCTGATTCCAGATCAGTCCCCAGTTGATCTGCACAGCTAAGGCATGCTCTTGGATCTGTGCCTTGCTGAACACCTTGCTCTGCTTTGCTGCCAGAGACATTAATTTTCACTTTTTATCTTCCTAAAAGCATGTCAGAAATCGAAAAATGATGAAGCAGTCACTTTCTCTCCTCTGTGAGGCAAAAAGGCTTTTAAAAATCACAATATGGGGGAAAGTGGAGCTCCTATTATACCTCCTGTGCACAGAAAAGAGAAAGAAAGTGAGGGAGATAGGGAATGAGCGAGGAACAGGGAGGCTTGCTTAGGGAGGAAGAGAGAAAGAGGGTAAAAGGACATGTGAGAAAGAAAATGATAGAAAGAGAGTGGGAGATCCGTCCAGCAGATAATGAAAAAAGGCTACCTGGTGGAAAAGTAATCCAGGCAACTGGCAGTCAGCCAAATTCAATAACAACATGAAAAGTGTGTGGGATGGAGGGATGAAACGATGAAAGAGGATGGGAGAGGTGATGCAACTGAATCTCAACACCATCCTGTTGCTGTAAACCAATGCCTCCTGATGATATATTCATGCAGAGTTGATGGAGAAAAAAAATGAGCGAGAGGAGAGGAGAGAAGAGGGGTGGAAAAGGCACACCCACTGCTATCTCCTCTCATCTTACCAGCTGTGGCCTGCAATGTTTCATCTGCACTACAATCAGATAATAAAATCTTTCTCTAAGTGTTTTGCAGAGAAGAACAAGGCAGTACTTTACGACAGTAAAACCATCTGTACTTGACTCCCTTCAAATTGAGTACATTTTTGATCATCGAAGAACTACCAAGTGATGATGAAACCAACTGTGCTGTTTTCATTCCAACTGTGCTCCTTTATAATGACTGGGAAAAAAACATTTGAAAAAATGGTGGGTTTACCTTGTTTTGGGGTTTGGTGCTAAGGTTCTCAGGTTTCTCCCAGCAGCGAGTAGACAGGTTAAGGATGGCAGTGGCAGCCATGTGAGCAGCTTCGGCATCATGGGCGTAGTCGTAGGCCAATGAGGAGCTTTTCCCATAACCGTGGAGGCTGAGACTAGGTGATGATGACTTGGGGAATGACGGCTTAGCTGCAGGGGGACAAAGGCACAAATCCCAAATTGGCTAATATTCTGGGAAAGTACTAAAACAAAAGGGGATTGAAAAAATATGTGCGCTCAAGAGAACCTTTGTGTTTTGCTAACACTCTACCTTCATTTTTCATGATTATTTTCTGCCCCACACTGCTGAAGCTTTTTAATTTAGCTGATTTTTTTAAATTAATATATTTCAATATATATTAAATAAAGATCAATCAATCAATCAATCAATCAATCAATCAATCATCTTACGTTTCTGTATTTTTCAGAAATACATCTTCCTCACAGGACAGCCAATACAAACACATGATTTATAGAATATGATGCCAGACATTAAACAGATAAAAGTACTTAAAATGAGCTCAACCTTAAAAATATGCAGAAGTAATATTAAACCATCCAATACTGACGAGGAACATTTTTCTGCAGAATAATAATCTTTTAATTTGCTACTTCATGCACAGTTTTCCAATAATGCAGTTTTATGTGTACTGAGGTGCGTTCACTGGGTTTTATTGCTTCTTTTCTTAAAGGAGTATCCACCACTTGTCATTGTCATTTGGTAAAACAGCAGATATTTATTCAGCTACCATTCTTCAGCCATGAAGGAGTGCAGAATACGTCCACGCAGAGTGCAGACAGACAGCACAAATGGCACATTTTAATCTGATCCAATTTATCTTGTTATAAAGTTAAATAGCAGAGGAAGATGTTTTCGTTTGTGTGTGGCAATTGTCTCTGCTTGCCTTTCTGTAAAAGTCACTGCACACCACTGAGTCACAGCCACTGCTATGCATGCAGACAGGACAGAAATGGCAAACTGAGTGAAACAGTAACTGAAATTTGAACATTTGTCTCTCTCTTCTTTTCACTCATTTTGAAGAATAAAAGTCAGCCAAAGAGCCATGCTGGAGTAACATTTTCAAGAGCCTTAGAAAGGCCAACACTGAGAGCAAGAATTAGCACAAATGAACATATCACACTATCTCACATAGCAATGAGTGAATGGTTAGTAAATAACGTGGCCCAGATCTTCAGTTTTCTGTGTGGCTCACATGGCTTTGACCAAAGACTCTAACTCACAGTGAATCCGGCTGCTGTAACCTAGCCACAGGTTTGCCTTATAGAAAAACAAATAAATAAATATGCACGATAGAGAAGAAGCCCGAGGTTCCCTCTTACTTTTGAAGGCTTTAGGTGAGGTTTCGCTGGTGGGCATCTTTGGAGCAAGCGTGCGCTTCCCGAACACTTGAGCATCGAAGCTTGCATAATCGAAGGACACCTTGGAGTACTTCTCCAGCTCCTTGGCCAAGTTGGCGCGAGGTGTGGAAGGTGCCATGTTGGGCCTGTAGCTCCCATACTGGGGCACCTCTAGCTGCTTCACAAAACACATGGGTCTGCAGGGGGGAGAGGGAGAGGACGTCAGGGTGGGGCTGGGGATTAAAGACAAAAATAAAAGCAGAAACAAGAGATGAGAAATAAAAAGAGGATTGATGCAATAAAAAGACACACACACATAAAAGCAAAACGGGGGAAGAAAAAGAGAATAAAAGAATGAGAGAAAAAGGTAGAATGAAACAGAAAGAGTGAAGACAGGAGCAATGGTGTACTTAGCGGGAGTGCAGCAGGATTAAAAGCTCTCTTATCAGCAGAGGGCACATTTGCATGTTGTACAGCACGGAATTTATGAGCTTTAAGCCCTCTCGTTTTCTGGAGAGCCCGGGCTTTTGTCAGACCTGTTGGCGTAAATCCACTGATAGACCAGGGGGAGGTGGAAGGGCATGGGGAGTGAGAAAGAAGAGAGAAGGGGGAGAAGAGAAGACTAGGAACCAAAGAAGGGGGAGTGGTGAAAGAGGAGAGACAGAGGAGGGGTAGGTTGGGGGTATAGAGCCTGGAGGAACAAAGTGACCTTACTCATTTTTTTTTTTACATCCCCTAACCATCTTATCCAAGCCCTCCACCCACTTTGGCCCAGCCCTATTTATTCTCCTCTGCACCGAAGCCTTTCCTCAGTGTTTTTCATTAATAGTCTACAAGACCTGGCCTGTAGTCATACTGCTGCAGCTGGGGTGGCCATCACATAGAAGCCCACTAATAATAAGTGTGCAAAGCAGAGCTACAACTGATCACAGGTGACTTTTTTCCATTTTATTAATTCAACATTGTTCCATTAAAACGAAGAATTCTGCAGCTCCACGTATAAGAGGCAAGGAAGCTCATTTGAATAACAATCTATAACAAAAAAACAAAGCAGGCCTTATTATGTTTTAATACTCGATGCTTTGTCCAACCACTGATGAGGTTTTCCTCAAGGAAAGCAATTATTTTTCCTATCCCCCCGCAATGCCCCTATAACTTGCATAATTAGCTTATCGGTTGCATTATTAATTAAAATACCAATGAGGAAGAGCACAGACAGCATAATACCAGTGTCTGGTTTGCACTAATTATCATTCTTTTGGCCGGGATCTGGCCGGTCGGGTGAGATGAATGTAGATAAAGAGATCTTAGCATGTGAGGTGACAGTAATGATTAGCCTGCCAGCCAGGATGTTTCAAGACTTTCTTGTTATTATTGAGCCGTTCAGAGGCCAGGCTCCACCTTTCATGCAGGGTACCGTAACCAAGGTCAGGATTCTCTCTGCGGTTTCAATGTGGCTCAGCAGTAAAGTGGCTAACCTTGACAAGGACTCAGCTGTGAGGGGTTTGGATTGGAGGAGACAGCTTTTATGTAGGTGAAAGGGTCACTGAGCCCAGTCTATCTTAGTTTCTGCTATTCATTGTGTCATCTATGATGGGCTTTGGAAAAGGACAAAAGGCATGAATTTTTTTGCCACATAAACCTTAACTGTGCAACATTAATACAGTTATTTACAAAATTTTAATCAATATAGGAATCAAAAAGTTCCCTTCTATGCATATAACTTGTAATTAAATTATCAAATAGATAAAATCTTTACATGTCAATGTAATGATATTGGCCAAAGTCAATAACTGCCACGTTTGTATAACTGACCTCTCGTGAGGGCATTAGGGCTCCATATCTACAGTATGTAATGTAATAAAGCAGAAAAAACCTGAACTATGAGTTTGTACTTTTTTGATGACCCACCTCAGCACTCTGTCATTGGGACTTCCTTTGAGGTGCTCGCTCGCTGACTGAGAGAGATGCTGCTTATCGTGGCTCTTAGATAGCTTCTCTGCAGCAGCGATGGGACAACCAGAAAGACTGCAGGGATAAAGGAAGCAAAGCAGATGAATATTACAAGTACATACTGCTGACTGTGTAAATCTACATCACAGTACTGATGTGGGCTGACACATTTGCTGCCCTGCATACATGAATATACGAGCTTGCAAATACACAAAGTGCACAACACTCTAACCTGCAGAGATACACACACACACACACACACACACACACACACACACACACACACACACACACACACACACACACAAACAACTTTCATATATAGATATACAGTATAAAGGTGCAATGTATATAAATATACCTGCGGTGTGTGTTGCGGTTGCTGTTGACATGGCCCTGACCTGTGCAGCCAGGAGTCGGACACTTCAGCACGTTTTCATGCATGGCCAGAACTGACAAGATGCACAATCATGTGATCAGAGAAAACTCAGAAAATGAAAATCACTGAAGTGGGATTTGCTTATTATTAAATTTGTTTTTATTTCTCATATTAATATTTTTGGTCTTCCTGCAAAAATAGATTTGAATACACAGCTGCACAGACTGTATAACCCCAAAATCCCCAATAATAGAATAAAATTAGAATTAAATTACGTATTTGAGGGCATTTCTTTGACTGAATTTCACAGCATTTGACCGATGCAAATCAAAGGACTGGTTTCTTCCAAACATATATACCAAGTCATGGAATCGGTGGCTCCCGAGACCTCAAAAAACCTCATGGCACAACAATTACACTGTTTAACTATTTTTTTATGCTAAGCAGCTGGAATAACAAAGAACAACAACAAAACCTCACTCTCTGGGGGGATCCTGTCCTTGTGCGGACAGCCTGACAGGCTGCGGTGGTGGGGGTAAAGACCGGTCACGTGACCAGTGCCATCACATCCCGGTGTGGGACACTTGTTCTCCCTCTTCTCTGGCCTGCTGCTCTCTGGGTCAGAGTTGGGTAGGAATGTAGAAGAAAACGGAAAGGAGGACAGGAAGATGGAAGGCCAAGTAAAAGGAAAGGGGAAGGTGGGATGAATAAGGTGCACAAAAGCAAGTGGTTAATGTCATCAGACAGTGTGCTTGGCTGAGCATGAAATCCAGACATATTCCCAACATCTGCACAAAACCCACACCATCTGTATCCCCCGACTCATGGCTTATGCATGCCTGTAAATACACCAGGTATTCCATGCATTTGTCTTAATGTTTATTTAAATACTTTTAAAGATAAAATACTATAAAAATGATAAACTACACCATCTTATCCTGTTGAGCTGGATAATCCCCCCATGGCTACATTTGCACAACACTTTCAAAGACCTTGTTTAGATCTTGGACAAAGCAGCACCTTACAATACATCAGAAGAAATTCACACCACTATATAATTTACACATAATTAAAGATGCCTGCTCCTCCCCTCTCCTATTGGAGGCAGGCCAGGCAGTATCAGTGGCACTGGAGAGAGGAGAAGGGTGCAAGAGGATGGTGTGATGCTCTATTGGCCTTCAAATTGAATGTTAACGAGACACGCATTTCCTAATTAGCGTCGAGCAGAACAGGAACGTCACCGCAGGAGGGAGTTAAGGCCAAGGAGAGGGCAGCACTACCGGGCATGTAATCACACTGCTGCTATACTGTGAGAAGCATGACAAGCGGGCAGCGTGCCAACTGTGTAATACAAGGCCCGAACACACGTAGCATGTAAACAAACACTCCATGGCTGACTGTGGAACAACCTGCACTCCTCCTTTTTCTCTGTTGATATGTTGTTGTCTCTCCTGTGCTCTCTCGCATGCTGTCATCCCTTCTCGCTCCCTCTTTGAGTACTTCCTCCCAGCTCTTCATGGAAGTCTATTCAGCTGGAACCACTTCAACCCCATTACAATAGAAAAGGGAGGATCCAAACAGAGCTCTGTGACTCATCTCTTATTTGGTACACTGTGTTTATTTGTACCCTCTGCTCCCAACATAACATTTAGCACATTTGCCAAAACTTCAGAACATCATTTTCTGTGTGCTCCCTTATTGGTTGTATTCCTCTGATATTGTTGTGGTATTTAAAAAAGCACTTGCTGTCTTGCAGAGTATTAGAGAAAATAATGAAAGAGCACATTTGGCCTGTATTTTTAATATAAGGATAAAGCCAGGGGGCAACTGCCCCCTTAAAGCTAGCTAACCTAACAAAAGTAAAACTGTCAAATTCTGGCACTTGCCTCTGATGTTTTTTTTTTGTGCTGGTTTGTGTAGAGGTTAAACAAAAATAGCAAATGTTCATTAGGCTTTTTTTTAAGGCCTGGATGAAAACGTGCCAGCTGATTCTTCCTGTCAAATGCTAATGACATCTGGGTCTAGTTTCACTAAGAATTGTATTAGTCAAACTTAGTTACTTTGATTACATACTGTTTTGCACACATTATAGCCTGTGAGAAACATACTGCAGTAGATTATCAGTCCAGCTCTGTTCAGAGTAAAGTACTTAAAGCCTGTGACATGTAGGTGCTCTTCCACTGTACGAACTGTGGGCAGACACAAAGTGATGCCAAGATTTACAAGAACACTCCCCTAACACAGGACCATTCTGTTTTTAAGGCGAATAAAAACAGGTGGGTGCAGAAGACGTGCTCAGTGCATCACATAGAAGTTTTGTTGGGGTTTTCAGAAAATTTTCATAGAACGGAGAAAATGTAAATTTTCCAGGTAAACCTATAAAACATTGTTGGATGAGGAATAAGTTTGCAACATGGTATTTCAGTACCATGTGCAGCTAATGTAGCTTTAAAAAAACAAAGATATAAAAAGAAACGGACTAAATGTGGCTGATGTGCTGTCTCCCTCAGGCAACTTTCACAATACCCTCTCAGTACATGTTGTAGCTCTGTTCTCCCCTGGTTACTAATTCATACCTTTGCTGAAATAGCCCTTGCGGATGACGTCCAGGTGCTTGGGCCTGTCCTCCATGGTGAAGTACCGCTGGTGGTGGATATCTGGTGTGCGGAGCAGCTCTCTGGGTCCTGCTGGCTTCACCTGCTCTGCCTTCAGGGCAATGGCTTGCTCTAGCAGGCCCAGGTTCCCTCGGGTCATGTCGAACATCTCTGACTCGTCCGTCACTGCCGAGCGCTGTGACAGGCTGTCTTCATCATCGCGCTCGTCATCTCCATCCACATCGTCAAAGTCTTTGTCCTCCGACTTATCGGATCGTACCTCGATAATGTCAGGAGAGGCTGAGGATGAAGCTTTGTGGATTTTGTAGTTCTCCCCTCTGGGAATGGGAAAGTAGTCCTCCAGTGGACTGGCCCTGTGGGAGCTGTAGCTTAAAGGAGGGCTGGCCTTATAGTTCTGAATTGAGCTAGCTTTAAGAGAGCTGTCTTGTGGACTGGCTCTGTTCTCAAAGGGACTTGCCCCGCATGAGTTGTAGTCCTCCAGAGGACTGGCCCTGTGGTCTTCAGCCTTGTGTGTTCCCTGAGCTGCTGCGGTGCTGGTGATGATGCGGATGGCAGTTGGCACATCAGAAATGGGCAAAACATCCCTGTGCTCCTCCTCATCTGCTGAAGTGCCCTGCCTCTGCTGCATTGGCACTACTATCTTTTCTTTTTCATTGTCTTTACCTATGAACTGTTCACACTGGTCCCTTTTAGTCAGATGCTGTGGGCTCATGTGGTTGCTCATATCTTCGTGCTCCCCTTGCTCATCCTCCACATCAGCTGCCTCCTGCTGCAGAGCAAATGACTCCTTCAGTGCTTGAACTCCATGTGCCACCTCCTCATCTTCCTCTTCTCCCTCGTTCGTGTCCTTCTCCTGCTCTTCCTTTACTTCTTCACCCTGTGTAATGGCCAATGTGACATCCTTCTTGGTCTCCATAGCAACAGTCTGCTGAATGGCCACAGTTGGAGCATTGTTGCTGTTGACACAGCCCAGGTGGAGGAGAGAGTTGGCCACCTCCTCGGTGCTCTGTGAGGGAGAGTGACACTCCTCAGCTGCAGGTACCGCTGCTCTGAGCTCAGGCTCGATGATCACACACTCCTCCTCTATCGGAGTAAAGATGAAGAAGTCAGAACAGTGACACAGAGGAAAACATGAGTCACATAGTGACATCAGGCTGTTGTCAGCAATATCTTTATCTTCACTTGTATCACTTTTATGCCTGCTAAGTCTTTCACTGTGTATATTTATATATGTGACATAAAAAGAACCTACTGTTACAAAACTGTAGCCGTAAAGCAGTTTGTTGACAGAGAAAGACACTCACAAAGTCCTTGTGCTCCTAGTGGCCATGATTTCATCTTTTCTCTAAAGGCTATAATCTATCACAATCAGTGAGTCTCATGGACTAATGGACAAGAAGACAAGAAGTTCCTAATTTTGAAATATATACAAACAAAGAGTTTGGCAAATGATTATTGGTAAAGAGTGACATCTACTGTCTCTGATACCTGCTCTCTATTGGACTGGAGATCTGCTGATGCTGCTGCTCACTAGAGCCAGTGTTGGGGAGAAAAAGGAGAGTGGAAAAGTAGAGCTGTCACCGACCAGAAATGGGAGATGGAAGCATGTAAATATAATAATAACCACTGCAGCTAAAAAGAGTGTCTGACAAGCCCAGCTGTAAGCAAGCTATTAAGAATTGACTGTACACTGTGTTCGTGTTTTGCTCCGAAACAATAAGTTCCATTGGAGCAACCTTTCAACGCCTCTCTCTGTCTCTCGCTAGCAAAGTTGACCCAGACAACAAAGTAAAGCTAGTTTTTGGCTATGGGTCCAAAACGGAACCCAACGTATTGGCCAGAGGTCCCTTTACTACGGTTCTGTTTTATATAAGTGAGGAATAGTTTTCTATACGAGATCGCTGCAAAAAGTGCAGCCTTACCTAATGTCCACCTACTGTTACTCATTTATATTAAGATTTAAAAATCTAGTTGCTATTGGTATGGTGAGTAACCTTCAGTAATAGTAATAAATCACACAGCATAGTACAATCATGTAGTTGTAAAACAGCATAATAATATATTAAGTAATCCAAAGTATTCAGAATACGTTACTCAATGAGAGTAACGTAACGGAATACGTTACAAAATACATTTTGGGGCATGTATTCTGTAATCTGTAGTGGAATACATTTTAAAAGTAACTTTCCCAACACTGACTAGAGCCAACATAGCGATACAATTAAATATATCAGTTCTGCTAATGGAAATACCAGTCTTCCTTGATTATAGTAGTCCTGACTCAAATGAAGAAGCAGGTAGTGAGGAAGCTGAGTGGGGTCTAAATAAAAGACACTCCAGTGGGAATCGTACGATCAACCAATTTGGGAGCTTAACCCATCAAGCAATTACAGTCAGGTATCTTGGCCTTAATCTGCTTCAGTATTGAAGTACATGATGAATATGTGCTCCTTTGATGCTGTGGTTATTTTTCACTGTACCCCTCTTTGTTACCAACAAGCTATGTTTCATACCTTCATCAGCTGCAAAATTCTCCTCCTTCTTATACGTCTCTTCCTCCTCTTTCTGTTGTGTGTTCTCCTCCCGACCGTTTGTCTGTCCGTCCTGTGTGAGTTCTGTCATTTCCTCTCTCTCCTCCTCCACACCTGTGTCTGTCTCCTCCACTTCCTCTTCTACCTTGGCTCCTTCTGTTTTCTCTCCATCGCCCTCAGCCTCACTGCTTGCGTCACTCTCTGCACTGAAACCTTCATCTAGGGCTAGTTTCAGGGGGTGGGACTTCCTCTTGGAGGCAGGCCGTTCTGTTTCCTGTTCTTGTTCCTGCTCTGCCTCTGCTTCGTCTAGACGGCGCTTTCTTGCTATTGGGCAACCCAGAATGCTTGTGATGGGGGAAAAGGAGAAGACAAGAAGAAAAGGGAGAGAACAAAATTAAGAAAATCAAGCTGGGTTATAAGTGAAACAACAACCTAACACGTCTAACAGAACCACAGCAGAAGGAGGCAGGGGTTTTTTCTGACATGAAACAGGATGGAGCTGCTTTTTCCAGTATGAATCAACACGCCTGAGGGGGGCGCCATGCTAGCTGACTCAGATATCACAACCAATCTCAGCCAATTGAGTGGAACGTTTAATGAACAACTCGTATGGAGAGGCGGGCGGGCGATGCAGCAGAGGGTGAAATCCAATAAACTCCTTCTTACGCTCACCTGGGAGACGCTGAGGGAGTCTGAGGAACGATCTATAAACAAAGTGCACCTCAAAATTGCCTGCTGAACAAATACACATGTAAACAGATAGCTAATATCTGCCCCTCAATAAAGACGAGTCACAAGCCAGTGAGCTGCCCCGAGTCCCCCAGGATCTCCCAGGGCGAACGACACAGACGATGAATGGAGGGATGGGGAATGAAGCTGGAATAACACCTGAAGAAATCACATTTCACCACTGCCCACTGAAAGGTTTATTACTTAGGTTTAGATTTAGATGCTCTGGGAGTCTGGTATGTGACATAATGAATGTGCTCTATTTGCAATCTGACTCAGTAAGTATCTTTAAAAGTCATTCACATTGTCTCCATCTGCGATTTAAATAACAAAGAATCGAAATGGTGCTGAGGAACCCAAGAAGCTGTGCAGTTTACCATTTGGTTTTTCTATTTTTTCTATTTCTATCTTTATTTTACAAATAATCAGAAGGAATTATAAGGATAGTAATGAGTGGGAGAACTAGATTCATTTGATGACTGGGAGATGTAAAAGCAGGAAATGTGGACATAAAGCAGAAAAACGTATCCTCAATCAGCTTCCCTCTAATCTGTGCTTTTTCTCTTGTCAAAAACACTTTTGTTGAACCTGATTTCTTCTGATCTGAATGTAAACAACTAACTCTCTGCTACATCCTTTTCCATTAGCACTGCAAAAGAGGACCATTTTGCTCATGACTTGACTTCAGTAACATCATACTATTAACACTACAAAACTAAAAGATGTAGCTTACCTCAGCTTAACAAACGTCTAGCCTGGCTGTGTCCAAAGATAAGTAATTAAGTTGATAAGAATCTTTAAAGCTCATTAATCAAGAAATCATTTGTTTGTCTGTAATGTGAATAGCACTGTTTTATGCCAGGAGATAGATTTTGGAATCTTGTTGTCACGGTGAGGACAAAAGTCTCCCAAGACCACCACTTTGAACTGTGGTTCCAAAGTGCTGTTTGGAAGAATTTGGGTGGATATAGCCATGGATACCTATAGTTAGAACCTAGCTATTTCACTCAATTCTGTTCTTTATGCTTTTTTAATAATTTTTTTTTTTTTACATTTCATCTGTATTCTTTATGCTAAGCTAGAAATCCAGCTGCTGGCTTGAGCTTCATAATTAGTGCACAGATATAAAAGTAGCATTGATGTTCTCGTCTAACGCTCAGTATTACAGCGAGTAATGCCGAATAAAAGCACAAAGCAGACGATATGGGACAGAGAACAGAGAGGACAGACAAGACTGAGACAAAGGACAGAGAGACAGAGGGTGGGGTTTTAATCTGCCCTACCTTCTGTGTCGTGAGTATCTCCCACTGATATGGCCTGAGCCATTGCATCCAGGGGTGGGGCAGCTGGATGGGATGGATGGAGGTTAGAGATATGTTTAAGGCACGGGTGCATTTTAGTCCCTGTGCAGTAGCAATGATAAACACAGGCAGTAAATAAAAAAGAAAAGGTCAATTAAGACAAACAAAATAAAGTGAAGCACAGACATGCAATCTGAGCACATGTGTCACACAAACGCACGTGTCCCCACTCTTCTACCAGACACACATAATGCATGAATTCAGGTGGTATCATGCAAGAGAAAACATAATATTCTCTGTCATACATCAACCCTGGCCTATATCCTGTTACTGTGAGAGATAAGGATCAGCCGAGGCCTGCTGTAATTTCCCCTGCTCTGCTCTCTTCACCAGTCATCATCATCAGTTCTTGCTCACTCTATTTTCTTTCTCTCTCTCTCTCTCCTTTGATTCAGGTTGCTATGACCCCTCAGGATGGCTCATTTCAATTCTCATTAACTTCCCCCAGCAATTGCCCTTCATTACTCCAATTATCCTTATTATTAATTTCACTTATTAAAAAATGCTGCATTTGCATTTTAAATCAGCCACTCTCTGGCCTCTTTTTTTTTTCTTCTTAATCCCAAAACCTCAAGTATTTTTTTGGAGTGCTGAGTAGAGATCAATGCTCAGAGGTGAAGTGTGACAAAATGAGAGAGGATGAAAAAATCATTTGGAAGGAGGGCAAGGAAGGGCGATGACTGGCTTTTGTGGACCCTGAAAGCTGGTCCCTGAGTGGGAAACTATGGAGAGGAGCTAAGGGCGGGAGAAAAAACTAAATAATAGCCCTTCACAGTCCTCTCTTCTTGTGCTGCATCCTTTGATCAGACTGCAAAAAGATCGTACACCTTTTTCATTGGATGTACTGTATGTGTTCATAGCAGGAAACAGCAAAAGGCTGCAAGAAATCAATAGCAGCCTGTTGGAGGCACTGACCACAAACTGAGAAGTGCTGATAATGAGTAATAGGAAAAGAATAATATACAGCGTCATCTAAAGAGAGTGTATGATTGCCAGGGTGGGGGAGATACAAGGTGAGGGTTTGGCGGGATATATAAATGAACTTTATGAAAGGGATTTGCACAAAGATGAAGGTGTTTCCTTACCTCAGCTCTTGTCCTACAAGCTCAATAGGAACTGAAAGGGGGGGGGGGTCATGGGGAGAGAGAACAAAGGTGAACAACTGCTCAGAACGCCGTGCTGCTAAAAGAAACTCAGATCAATAAATCACAAATGCATATGAATCCCAGAAGGATTCCTCATAGAGGCTTAGACACACACACATTCCGAAAAATCCTAAAACACACCTACATGCTCCTGGGTTCACACATACACATCTACATGTAAAACAAACAAGAGTAAAGCAAACATGCTGCATAAAAAAGGCACGCACACACAAACAGAAAGGCTAAATCAGCCAAACTGCACAGCACTGTTCAGAAAAAGTGACAGTTATATGCAGACTTCAGCAATAAAACATGATTAATTGTTACACTTTAGTTACCATAATTGGGGAAAAGAAATTAAAAGGAAAACTGCCTTCATCAGGAGAAAACAGCACTTCATTCAGGGCCAACTTATAGTAATTGCCTTCAAAACATAAATCACGCTCTGCTCCCATAGAGCACGCGCACACTTGCCGGCTGTGGGCATCGATTGGGAGTTGAGCGATAGAACGAGTTTTTGGAGAAATATCCTATTTTCATTTGAAGCCAAAATGAAAAAACAATAGGATCCTGGAGAATTCAGTTTGGCCTCCAATATCACATGCATTAATCACATGTCAGAAATAGCCTGGGTATCAAGATACACTAAGAGCACTAAGACACATGCACACATGCATACACACACAAGTTTGTGTGTGTGTGTGTGTGTGTGTGTGTGTGTGTGTGTGTGTGTGTGTGTGTGTGTGCGCGCATGCAACATCGTAGTTTCTCAGTCTTTCATCATGCAGTTGGAATGACTGGACGCCTTCTGAACGCCCTGTGAACTGTTGCTTTGCTGTCTTGTTTCTAAACATCAAACACACGTGCAAATGCAAACACACCAAGGAACTCACACATATCAATATGGATATTTACACATTCATTCAAGTGCACATTAAATTTACATGTGTTTGTACACATAAACACACAGCCATACGTACATGTGGACTAAAAAAATATGGAGTAGCAAGGGCTGTGGTTTTTGTGATATTCTAGGAGTTATGACTCAAAAGTAATGCATCGATATTACTGATCTGTTCAGTGGGCATTAGCACGTACACATAAAGCCACAAGGTTTCCTTTCATTCGTTTGTGCCCTTAGAGAGAAGGGTCATACATTGGGTATGAGGGCTCAACTTGAATGGTTTATAATGAGGATGAAAATGATTAGAATCATGCTCTGGTGTTATCAGATGTCGACATAATTGAACACCTATGGTAGGATTTGGAGCAATGTGTTAAGACAGCCCTCTCCAACACCGTTATTACAGCACCAAATATGTTTTGGGAGAACGGTGTTCATTCTTAAAGAAGAGTTGCAGAGACTTGAGGAATCAGTAGCCACATACATGTACAGATTTACTTAGAGGAGCAAATTAGCCTTTGCTAATATTGGGGCAGACATTTCCACGTGTTATGTGTTACATCCAATACTACAGAGAAGCTCTGATGTTGGAGAGCAGCGTGTGTACATACTGCTGAGTAAAGACACGGAGAGACCTTTTTTTATTCACCGTCTTTGTCACTCATGTTTATGTGTACAGACAAACATACATTCTGAGTCCACGAACCCACACGCTTGTCAAAAAGCAGAAGAGATGCTTGGCTGTGAAGGAGTGTTTGTAAATGTAACTGTTGCAGACTGGGCCTGAGTGGCCGACACTCACCTCTGATTCCCTTGGACCGAGTGCGAGTTCGCTTATCGTCACCCTCTACGCTCATCTGTGAAGAAAAGGAGAAAGCACGAGCAGAGAGAGCAAAGAAGAGGAGAAGGAGAGGGGGAAAGAAACCATCAGAGGTAATTTCTCAATGCTCTCACTATTTTCCACCACACATCTACAGCTAATTGCACTTGTCTTCCTTCAAAACAACGACTATAGTAACCCACGCTCAGGAAGTTCCCATTAAAACACACCAAAGGTAGCTCTGACACAAAGAGATGATCATATCTTTAATTCTCCTTTGCTCGCCCAACCTCACTCACTTAGTATACTTTAAAAACCTTATAACCCACTAGAGCCAACATCAGTCTCGTTTAGGCTACTATAAGGGCAGCATGGTGTAGAAAGAAAAAACAAACTTGGTTGTTCAAGCTACTTTTTAGCTCCCTCCCCACCCTCACCCCTCACACACCTCTTATCACTCCCCCTGTAATTTCCTGCATCTGAGTGGTGCTCATGATTGTAGTCTGTAGAGAGGCAACAGGCGGTGAACGCAGAGGGGCCATGGCCCCTGTAAGCAAAGGGACTGACAATCATAACTATGCTGAATATAATAATAAAGCAAAAACACACAGGCAGCCAGAAAGCCACTGTAATAACCCTTTTAAGAAGAGGACTTGTATGTGTGTGTGTGTGTGTGTGTGTGTGTGTGTGTGTGTGTGTGTGTGTGTGTGTGTGTGTGTGTGTGTGTGTGCTGGGTCTGCCACTAACTCCTGGCTCAGCTTTTAAGGCACAAAGGAGCAGGTGTTAACCCTGCTACCTCACACACACACACTGACCACACCTCCTCAGCATTACCTCTCCACACTGAACACTGCTCCCAATGCACTCTAAAGCTATCAGATGCTTTTTAGACACAATGGAGCCATTAGCTTTGATTACTGGACTCTGGGTAGATTTTTTTTTTTTTAATCGCAGGTCTACCCCTTTTTCTGTCTCACTCTTCCTCCATCCTATGCTCGTCTACCACCCTTTTATCCCCCCGGTTGCCTGTACTCCCCTCTTCATGCCCAGCCACTTAGCTGCTTTGTTGCTTCTCTATAGTCAAGTTGGCAGAGCCACAGTGGGATTCAAACACGGGGTCCCTGTTTCTTGTAGTCTTTTTCTCCTCCTCTCTCTATTTGGCAATGTCCCTTTCCTGCTAAAAGACTACTTATGAAAAGAAGGAGGGAAAGAGGGATGAGAGGAGGATGAAACACGCTGTTGTTGTTTTTGTTAAGGGCTTTTCTTTCCCCCTGTCTCCCGAAGAGGGTGCACTTCATTCATTAATGTTTAGTGTTTGGCCGGAGGTACAGGTGCAGGCACAGGCCCCTCCCTTCCTCTGCGAGCATCCACTGCCTTGCCTTGCCCTATGCTCCTCTCTCTCTCTCTCTCTCCCTCTCGCTCCCTCACACACACACATGCACGCACACACACACACACACACACACACACACACACACACACACACAGACTGTCTCTTGCCACTCTGGCTTCAGCTCTTTTGATCAAGCGCTTAGTGTAGAAGTCATGCAACAAGCACCAGCTTTGTGCCCTGCCTGAAGGGAGCAGTTGACTCCTTCTGTGCTCCACTCTCAGTGCTGTGTGGGAAGAGGAGCGGATGAGTGTGCAGTAATGACTTCTCGGTCATGTGTGTATGCTCTTTTAGCCTACACAAGTGCGTGCCTGCCTGCATATAGCTCAAATCCATTTCCTTACACTCAATTGTCTGCACTTGTTAGAATGGAAGCGCAGACATGGAATATAAGAAATAGATTTGCAAGCTTCCTGTACTTCATGTGCATGTTTCGGAGTTGTTGTTTTTGGGGGGTTTTCCTCCTTCTCATTCTGTCTCAAAGAGAATACTGTTCATCTAACCCCACTAGATTTAGAAAAAATGTGGAATGGCTTGTCTAATTTGAAATATTAAGCACAAATTAATATTATCAATAGCAATGAATGTCAAATATTAAAACAGCTAAACAGCTAAACAGCATGTGCTGAGAAAATGCAATAACCAGGTGAGCCCTCAAGCTTAAACATTAAAAACTTTAGCTCAGTATTTTAAATAAAAAAGTAAAAGTAATAGATAAGTGAATCTGAAAATGAATGTAAATATTAGGTAGAAGTAATGGCTAAAGAGATAAAACAGCTAAAAGTTAAGACATATAGTACGATACCTCAAAGAGAAAAGTGGTGGAGCAGAAATATATTTTGCTTATAATAACCAGCTTGTATACTTGTATGAACACAACTTTTTCTTGTTGGTATTTTAGATTTTATTACTGATACAGCATATAACCTTGTAATATTAACACCCATACCTATAATTTAATTAAATGGCTTTCCCAAAGCCCCAACTGTCAAACTAAAATAGTTTATTTATCCACACCCAAGTTTGCTAACATACATGACAAGAAATTGATTTGGCTTGAAAATTGACTGAAAAGATTAATCAGTCATCAAAACAGCTGCAGACTCCTTTTCCTTTGAACAACAAGGCTAATTGAAAAATCAATTCCTCGTTTCAGCTCTTATTGCTACTTTTACTTAACCAATATGATATGATTACTTTTTCTACCGGTGAAGCAGAGTGGCCAGACAGTTTGCAAGGCAGCAATTTGGAGAAAAAATAGAAGACATGAAACACAAAAAGAGCTTTCTAATAAATGTTTAACCTCTAAATCAATTTAGATTTTCACAGTTACAAAAGGTAAAGTTATATTTAAATGTGATTAAGAGATTTAGTAGATGCATCAAAGAATCAAAGGCTAACATATGAAAACAGATCTATGTGATCTATGTTTTATGTGACTGGGTTTTATTGGAAAGGAAAGAAGATGTCTGTGAAGATGCAATACAGAATATGTGCATATGAGACTGAACTACACATTCCTCCTTCATGAAAAGATGATATACTATTCTCTTACCCCTGTAGTTCTCCCCCCTCTTTCCTTTCCCTCCTCCCTATATTGATAGGCATTGGATGAATCAAAACCTGGACTGAAAAGGGCTCCCATTGCTTTCATGTTTGTGTAACCATAGCTACGCACATTTAAATAGGTAAGCACATCTGAGCTCTCCCCTCTTTCCTGTCCTTTTTCTCAATTCCAGCTCATTAAATTTGTATGAACACAAAGTCACTGCAAATGAATCCAGATGCAGCCAGGCAAGCATTCACCTGATTTTTATAATCATTTTCAAAAGGTCCTTTTTAAAGGTATGTTCAAAACTTGTCCTTTACCTTGCTTTCTTTTAATTAGACTCCTTGAACATTGCACCTATGTAGGTGGACCTACACAGTACCAGTAATGTCTTATGCACAACAGAGAAAGGCAGAGAATGAAAAAGAAGGAGATAGTGTTTCAGGCTGTGAGTGTGCGGCAATATGCGCGCGTGTGCGATGTGGGGTTTAACTAGTATGAAATGATGAAATGTGGCAGCAGAAGAAGGAGAAAAGAAGAGGTGGAGGAAGAGGAGGAGGAAGGCTCTTCCCTACAGGCTGTGTTATACATTATCAATTATGTCCTTCTTTGTGTGCAGGAGGACCTCAGCTCAGCTCTGCATTCTGACAGCTCTATGTAAATGGCTGGCTGGGGGCAATGACTTCAGAGAGAAGGTCATCCTCTGTCCCCTGGTGCACATAAATGACTCTTTTATTCATTTTCAGGTTTACAAGAGTAGATGAGGAAAGGAGGGGGTTAAGGTGGGGGGTTGCGACACAGGGAGAGGAGTTGGAGAAAAGCATTTGCAACTGACAGAGAAGACTGACATCTCCAAAAATCACCTGAAGCTGCCAATTAGAGGCGGGCCTACAGTTCCCTCTGCATGGCCTCCATGTTGGACCGTCGCACGTCGAGCCCCTTGACAGCTCCACTTTAATGATTCAGGGAGGAAGGAGCACGCGAGAAGACTGAGCATGTCTGACTGCATAATGGGTCAGCTGCTGTCAAAGGTTTGCCATTTACAGTGTGAGTCATCCTCGAATGATTTCAAGGTTTGTAACTAAACATCTTTTCGGTGCTAATGCTCAGTCTGTTTCATCTATCTCTACTGCAAGTCAAAAAAGACAATAAGAAGGTATCATAAGTGGCAGAGGCCTCTTCACGTGATGTAGTGTTTGAAAGCAGCACATCTCTCTTCTCCTCCTCTCTGTCACTCCTTCAGTAGCAGAAATCAAACCAAATCAATAAAAGTCATCACTTTAGATGAACCCTAGCCATCAGGGGGGAAGCAAAACTACTTTTACTGGGCCCAGGGGGAAACAACCCCCGCTCCTCTCTCCTTCAAACTCTCTTCCATCTCGTTCCATCTAATTGTCGCTCTCATTTGCAGTGCAAAGAAAAAACTAAAAGTTGGTCTTAATGATGAAAGTAGAATTCTTAGAATTATGACATTTTCTAGGTATTTCCCCTCAAAGACTAAAACCCAGTTAAGGTAAAAATTATTTCAAAAGCATCTTTTTCAAAAGAGCTTCCAAAGCAGAAAATTAGTAGAAGCACAAAAAGGGGCTTTAAAGAGACTCGGGAGTTTTTCAAAAGGACAAAACGGCAGCAAGACAAAGTGCTGAGCAGCAGGGGCACCTGGGGTCAAAGCAAATGCAATATCAGTGACTAATGTCCCCTATAACTGATAACATGATCTTATTGAAGGCTTGTGTCAGCATTTCATAAGAAGAACATTATGCCAACAGTCAAACATGGTGGTGGTAGTATGATGCTGTGAGGCTGTTTTGCTGATTCAGAACCGCTGTGATTTACCATAATTGATAGAACCATGAATTCTGCTCTCTACCAGAAAATTCTAAAGTCTGCCCTGAAGCTCAAGTACACCTGACTTATGCAGTAGAACAACAATCCAAAATACACAGCAAGTCCACCTCTGAATGGCTAAAAAAAAAAAGGTTAAGAGGTGGTCAAGTCAAGGTCTGGCCTTAAATCCAATTGAGATGCCTTGGCATCAAAGAAGAGCACTCCAAAATTTCTCCACAGTGGAGTGAAAGACAATTGCCAGTTAGCGCAGATGCTTGAGTGCAGTTTTTGCTGTCAAGGGTGGCCCAACCAGTTATTAGGTTTAGGGGGCAATCGCTTTTCCACACAGCACCAGGAAGGTTTGGATAGCTTCCTTCCATTAATAAATGAAATCGGGATATAAAAACTGCGATTTGAATAAGAAATCGGGAAGGGGGCTCTGTGCAAAATAAGCAATTAATAGCAACAGTTTTGCTTCACGTGTGGGTCTGTGCTTTTCAGTCACACAGATAGATTATGCTTTCAAACCAGGCTTTCTAGCTAATAACTTCAACCTCTCGTCCAAATTCATTTACCTCTGGCTCCAGGAAACTACGACAGCAGGTCCAAAACCCATCAGTGATGTCACAGTGGCTATCAGTTTCAAAATGTAAACGTTTTAGTCCCTTCCTTGTTCAGAGTTGCTTTGAGAATGGGAGTCCTTGCCGGAATTTATTTGGGCTGTGTCTGAAAATCTCAGAGAGGACTGTCAGACTGTTGTTTTCAGAATGGAGAAACCTCCTTGAAAGGATGGCAAAGCAGGTCAGAAGTTTTAGACACGGCAGAGCAGGTTAAAGAGAAGAAAAGAGGTGTTGGTGGAAGGGAGCATTTTTCTCCTCTGCTGATAAGGCAGAATATCATGCACTTAAAAAAAGTATGAGCAGCTCAAGGACATCCTTTTGAGTTTCTTTTTTTATTGTGTTTCAATAGGAAAAAAAACCCTGTGAAGTGAACTCAGCAGTAGCAGGAAAACGCTGAGCTGTGCCACGCTGAGCTTAACTAAGCTGAGTGGGGCCGAGGCAAAAGATGGGCAGGGCCAAGCGGGAGATTTGATGTGCTGTTTGATTCATGTTTTTTCTGTCCTGCATGGCTGTCTAAAATACCCTGCACCCTAAGACACACACACACACACATACATATACACAGCCTGCTTTATTGCCCTCTGCTCCATCTGCCTCCACCCTTTTTGACTTTCCCCTGCTGAGTTGGGGATTGGAGGGAAATGCTCAGGAAGCAGAATCAGATTGGAAAGGGGTGTGGTGGCGAGTGATGAAGCGGGTGGGGATGTACAAGGGGGCTGTGTTGTCACTCACCATGATTGGTCGACGGCTCTGCAGTCTCTGGGAGGCCTGACAGCGGCTGCTGGTCCTCTCGCCTCGTGTCCACCGCTGGTTCACCAGCTCACCCCGAAACTCATTTTCTGTTGGTAGAAAAGGAAGAAACAAGAGCAAGAGGTGGGGCAAGAGAAAGGGATGGGTTAGGAGAGGGGACAGATTTGGGAGAAAGAAAAAGAAGGGAAAAAGAGAGAGAGTTGTCATGTGAAATCATCAGCGCCAGTAGATGGGCAGTGTGTGGTTAGAGGAAGAGAGAAGAGGGTGGGGGTTTTACTTTGAGGGAATGCTGGGGCACTCAAGCGTGCTGCAGACGATCCTTTATTAACTAAAAGACAAGTATGTATGCATCTCGTGGGCGCACGCGCACACACACACACACACACACACACACACACACACACACACACCGAGGCACAGTTAAGTGCCCCAGCTGGGATCCCTGTCAGTCTACTATTAGAATCAATCAAATTTGTGCATTTTTATCAAGTTTTTCAGGGAGCGTATATATGAAGAAATGGGGTGGTGGTAGTGGTGATGGTGGTGGTGCTGGGGAGCAATGTCAGGGGAGAGAGGTTGAAGAATGGCTAGCATATAATGAATCGCACATAAATCAAACCGCTCTTCTTCCTCCCCCCCTCACTCTTTTTTCATCAAGGTAATAGCTCTTCAGTTTATCTTTGTGATGACGGCCTGAGACAAACACAGTATTACAAATCCCTTTGTGCTCATAGTGATGCCAGTGCAGGTGTTAAATACAAAACAGAGACGTAGTTTCAAGATCAGGTGGGGAAATAAAGTGTAGATTTTTCTTTTTTCTGGGAGTGCTCAAGGCTGAACTTTGCAACTCGTGTCGCTTCAGCTCTGTCTCTTTCTCCCACTCGGTTTTCAAGCACTGCTGAGCTGGTACAGTGAAATCTGATCCTTTCTGAGATACACACATATATTTATGTGTATATATATATATATATATATATATATATATATTTATGTGTATATATATATATATATATATATATATACACATAAATATATATATATATATATATATATATATATATATATATATATATATATATATATATATATAGATATATATATAGATATAGATATATATCAGAACACTCTGAAAGAGAAAGCGTCCTTCAGCTTAGACTGACTGTATGACCAGGCATTTGGGCCACTCTGTTGAAAATGTAAATGGAAGCTGCAGTGGTGCTTGAGAGCAATCATGCCCAGAACTCAGAATTTGTGGTGGGAATTCAAGATAGAATGTTTTTAAATAACTAATGCAGCTCTTACAAATAACCTCCAGCAGTCTTCTGAGGCAACAAAACCTAAAGCTCTCTGAACAAATCCTCGGCCTTTATTGACTGCATCCCTACCTTTTCATTTCTCTTAAGTTTTTTTATTCTTTATTTCCATGCTTGACTGTCCTGTGCGTGAACCCGTGAGTGAGAGTGGCGCACTAAAAGCAGTGAGAGCAATGGTGGACGAGACAACAAAAGGCTGTGTGTCCGCATCCAAGGGGTCCTGAAGCAGACCCCTTGAACACCCCCTCCCCTTTCCCAACACACACACACACACACCCTGACACACCAAAGCTCAGCCATTTACAAAATGCTTGTTTATCAACTTTCACCACCACCCCACCCCAGAGTGAAAAAGTGATTACAGCAGCAATACTTTAGGTCTGCATCTCTATCTCTGTCTCAGCTATCTCCACACAAACACATACACACACAAGTAGGCAAACTCCCATGCCTATTTTGCTTCCTCTCTGGTCTTTCTCCCTCCTTTTAAAGTGAAGTGAAGTGAGCATCCATCCTGTATTGTTAGTTTTGGGGACAAGGAGCTGAGAGCCCTTCCTAAATGCCAAACATATAACAGCACTCTATTAGGACACATAGCCTGGGGCCGTGTGTCAGCAGCCCCCCGTTCACTCTGCTTAGTCTTGACCTCGTGCTGCACACACACACACACACACACACACACACACACACACACACACACACACACACACACACACACACAGAGAGAGAGAGAGAGAGAGAGAGAGAGAGAGAGAGAATACAGCTGGAACCAAAGCTGAAGCGATTCATCACAGAAAGAGGTGTCAGAATTAACCCTTCTTTGGCATCTTGTGTTAAATTTAGAACAAAAAAAAGGAAATTAGAAAACTGATTTGAACCTCGCGTGCTCAGGATCTGCTCTCTCTGATTCTTTGATCACATGCTGCTCTTTCTCCATCTAAAAGACTCACAGCTCATTATTTTACAGCAAAAGTTGGAGGAGTATGAGACAATTAGCCATTCACCGGGGATGTTTGGTTAATCAGAAGTGAGACGGTAGGTGGGAGTGAATGCAAAATGAATGGGTTTTTAGCTTGGGTTTTTTTGTTATTGAGGGGCAGATTTGCCAGTTATCTGCACACAAAGAAAATAAATGATAAGAATCAATACCTGATCCAAAAAAGAAAACCTTTTACCTGAAAACAAAGTTTAGGCTGAAGTAATACCATTACAGGACTACGGCTTACTGTACTGGGACAATAGAGCAAAGAGGTCTAAATCCATAGTTAGATTAAATACCAGGGTGAACTGTCTGTAACAGCATTAGTGTGTGTACAGCGCTGGGGCCAGCTGTACACCCCTGGCCCCCTGTTAAGCAGGATTTAGAGACAACTTAGTGTGATTACAGCGAGCTGAGCAGACGGGAGCGAGAAATCAAAAGTTGTGCACCGGCGGGGTGGTTTCATGTTACTCTGTTGGTTTCTTTGTGTCAAAGCACAAAAGAAAGGAGAGTTTCCAGATTATGAGGCAGGTGTGAAAAGCAAATTTGTGATTTAAAGATCCTAGCTTGAAGGGCAAATTAAACAGGAAAGGTGACTAAAAGAGGGGCAGCTTGCAAGATGCTACTATCAGTTTAGTGATGGGGATTGGATGGAAAGGCAACAGCACCATGGCAACCAGCTTTTAGGAGGGGGGAGCTCCCCTGAGGGTCACCTTGACCTCTGAGAAAATGACACAAACCGCTGCTTCTAAGACTAAACTGAGCCGCACACCTGAAAATCTGTACCTCTCCGTTTTCCAAACACTTCTCCAAGTTGCGTTCCTCTCTCGAAGAATCTGTGCACTTTTGTCTTGCTTTTTTAATTAATTTTCACTTTTCTTTTTTATTTATTTCCCATTTCAATGCAGGCACGAAATTCATTATTTCCAGCCTTTCAGTTGAAATGCTTCCTCTCTACTGAAAGCCAGGGCCAACCCTGACCTTTGCTTGTATTGCTTAGATTTCTGATAGGCTTTGAATGACGAGGGTGCAATTTGGCCCCAGCTGCTCCTCCAGTGCGTTTATTGCGCTCCCTCCTCCGGCACCTGCTGTCCTCACCATCGCCTATTCAACCCTTCATAAATAGCGAGGTTTCCTCCTATCACAGTAACTACAAACACACACACACACACACACACACACACACACACACACACACACACACACACACACACACACACACACACACACACACAGGAGCAGGTCATATCAGAGGCTGCTACACGCAGCTCTATACGCTGCTGTAGCAGCATAAGGCACCAATAACCTAATTCGGTAATCCCCCTCCAAAACTAGGCTACATTTCACTGGAAACGTAAACAGAAGAAAAACAATAGGTGTTTTATCTTTTCTGCCTAGGATGCGTTACATGTGTGGCTCGGTATTTATTCTACATTAAGCCAAACAATAGGCCTGCGGATGCTTTTTCCATGCATTTAAATGAGCTTTAACCAACTCCAGTGGAAGATTGTAAAAACTATTTTAAAGCCGCAGATATTTAAAAGCAGCGGAGACATTCTGCCGTTTAAAGTCCGCGTTTCCAACGGCGAAAACCAGGAAGCAAAGTAACGCCGAAAGCTTTCCTGACGGGCAGCTCAAGTTTCTCCCACTCTCTTCTGAGGTTACTACTGCTACAGTGGAGTGGGGAGAAACTTAAAGAGCGGGTGACATAACACTCTGTGTATCACCATCATCGGCAGCCCCATCTCTTTCCTCCATCTTAGGACGCGGGTGCTTTGACAAGCCGCGAGGCGCACACATCACGCGGCCATCTAAGCAAGGCAAGAAGGTGGGGTGAGCAAGAGAAGGGAGTGGGGGGTGTGAGGGATAAAAAACAAGAAAAAAAAACAACAACAGCACAGACGCACGGGCTCGCTTTCTGCACCGTGCCACAGTCCGAAAAGATCCAGTGAAACGTGCCACTCGAGGCTCCCCTCCCCGGCGTCTATTTTCAGTGCGCTTCTGAGGACTTTTTTTTTCATCTGCGCACTACTAAAGGCGGCTGACATTTGAAGAGAGCATCTCTGTTTTTTGCTGCAGAGGATCAAATGGTCAACCCCTCCCTCCATCCTTCCCTTTGCCTTTCTCTCTTTCTCGCAATCACACTCACTCCATCCATCCATCTGTCCACACACAAACACACGCAGGACTCCTGCTGCTCTACCTTTCTAATAATACAAACTCTGCACACATATCTCAATTTACTAGAAAGGGTGGGACGTGGTACAGTAAACGAGCAAATTTATTCCTGGAGACAGGAAGGTGAAACTAGAGGACGGAGCAGAGGATGGAGCATCGTACTGAGTGTGTCTTCTTCAAGCCCCACACTCTGATGATGAACTATTCGACAGGGGCAGAGTGGCAGAGAAGTGCACGCATCAACTGAGGTTCCGAGAAAGCGCCATAGTTGGTTTATTCCCACTTATTACACGGCGCCGGTGTAAACACACGCAGCATGGAAGGGGCTAAAATATAGCTTCATCTCCATCCTGAGCGGAAAATACTAATAGCAGCTGACAACGTAAATAAATGGAAAAAAGAAGAAAAAAAATCAGGTCAAACTGTGGGGAGATCGCAGCTGTGGGTAAGTTTTAATCCACACCGGGGAATTAGGAAATATAAAAATGTGACATCAACACTAAACCGGTGCTAAATCGCGCTGTGGGGGGATGCTTTTAAATATCACACAGTCAAAGTCACGCACAAAGGCTGGGTAATTCCAGATGAATCATCACAGATCTAAACACTCAAAACATTTCTGATTACCTGTATCCGATAATATTTCCTCTGTGGTTTCGGCGCCGCGTTCTCGCTCTCTTTTTAGAGTTGCAGGCCAAGTAGTTTTCTTTAAAGAGGCACGATATCCCGAGTAAAAGCTCTATGTGTTTGTTTTTTTCTTGTAAAAAGCAATCGTCTATCCCGTTCTAAACGTCCAGATGTGATAAATAAGAAGAGCGAGCTGAAGGTTGCACCGGCCTCTCTTGCGCAGCGCATCGGCGCACGGCTCCGTATCCGGGCGTTAAGATGTTACTTGTTTGTAAGCAAAAAACATGGCTTCATTTGCCTTTGTCAGCGAGGAGGGGAGAAAAAACGTAATATTGACTTACCTTTCCCTCATGAGCCATTGTACCACCCCCTCCCTCCACCCTTCCCTTCCTCCCTCCATCCATCCCATCCCCTCTCAACTCCCCACCCGCCCCTTTCAACTCCTCCCTCCGCCCTTTGCCATGACATCACGGAAGCTGTAGTAAAACCTCCAGCATCAGATGGGCAGGGCTTGAAGTCCCCTCTTACTACACACTAACTCAATGGGCATATGTGCACACACACACACACACACACACACACACACACACACACACACACACACACACACACACACACCCCTCCCTGACTTTCGTCCTTCCTCTCTCCTAAGCATGTCTCAAGCCAGCGAAACGTACAACTTTAAACCAGATTTGACTCTATCTGCGCGCCATTTCCCACATATGAAAATAAAGTTTCCATTTCCCCAAACATCCCATAAACACCATTATCAGCGTGTAATCGTTGGTGAAGCATCTCTACGCCTCTGGGCTCCAACACAATATTAGACACCAGAATTAGCTCATGTTTTATACATTTCACCCGCTGACAAGTTCTTGATGTCTCCCAAAAGCATTACTGTAATCCTTCACCACCCCCAACGCACCCCGGAAAGTGGTACCGTCCAATAATTCATTCAGGGGGACTTTTTTTTTTTTTTTTTTTTAGTCGAGGACCGTGAATTGATGTAGTAGCAGAGTCTGGATATGCGCGCAGCGCTGACAGCATCTGATAACTCCTCCGTATGGGAAGAAGGGGGTGGGGGTTAACGACATATAGGCAAAGAGGGAGATTATATGTCTCCCCCGAGCATAAAAAATATTTATGCTCAGGGGAGGCGACGAAAGGACTGAAGTGTGATATCGGTTTGAATAAAAAGAGAAGCAGGAGTTTACTAAGACAACTAATCACTCTCACTTCCTGATCTGCTCATCGTTTTTAGGCTGACCGCCGCAGCTCCGAACAACAAACAGCCGGTCTTAACAGAGCAACTTGGAGTCACTCCCAAATGTTGCTCACATCATGCTTTTTGCTTTGCCGTTTTGAAACCATTAGTGGAAATGACAACCATTCATTACAAGCCATTTGAGAATAGTCCCCACAAATGCCATCCTTTATCTGCTGTCTCCACGCCGCGCACGTAGGGAATATTCAAAAAGCCCAACCTTCAGCTTTCAGAAATTCTATTAAATTCTTATCTCTTTGCAGCAGGCTCTTTTTGTGAAATCCCATTGTTATGCATTGGAGCTGAAATCAATCACCGGCCGTGCAGCCGCCATCAGTATGATTTCAGACAGTGGTGTGCAGAAAGAGACACGCAGAGAGAGAGAATGGATTCACAACAACGCCATCGACAACCCAATAAACAAAAGAGAGGGGGGATAGGAAATATCCTGGGCCATGATCCAGCACAGGGTGGACCGGTGTCGCAAAGTTGAGGCCTGTAGGTCAGGTGTGAACTAGAGACACACGGAGGTTTTCTGGCGGTAAAAGAGAAGAGAGAAAAGGCCTCAAATCTCAAATCACAATCGCTCGCTGCTATCAGCACTGCGGACAGCTCCAAAGTGCTGCTCCAGAGATTCTGTGCGTGTTCAGAACCGTGGACAGCTCTGGCAAACAATATCTACTACAGCTCATTGTTGAGGCAACAAAAGCGTTTGTCTGCCCACTGTTGACACTAACTATCTGCCATCAGCTAACTTTAATGGCATCAAACAAAGGTTCTATTTTTAAAATGATAATATTTCACCTTTAAAATAGGCAATATTTGCTCCATTTGTCCCAATCATTGATAACGTTGCTTCAAACTTGTCAGTTTTTCATATTTTATTTTAAAAGGTAAATCTTATGGTTTCAAGTAAAATCATTTTACACTAATAATATGAATGCTTACATGTAAACTTCAATACTGTTGAACACACTGTCACAAGAGTACCAAGTGGGTGGGTTTTTGTTGTTGTTGTTTTTTTACTGTTGTGGCTTTTATTTTGAAGGATAAAACTTGAACCATATTTGCCTTCGTTATAAACTAATACAGACAAAACGGAATGCCAAATCTATGAAAAATGAATATCCAAAACTAATGTTTATTCCATTTAAAGGTCTAAAAACTTTATCATATCACCACTGCATTTTATTTATTTTTTGAACGGAAACATTGACAAAATAAAGTACAATCATTTCATCCTTAATATAAACTGAAATAAACAAAGCAGAATGCAGCTTTTATAAGTCCAAGCTCTGAAAATTAAACTGTCTTTAATTTAAATATCTAATGACTCGTATTTATAGTCGATCTATTTACGTTTTTACTTTGAAAACATATATAAATATATATAAAACTATTTTCCATACTCACCCCAAACTGCCCCCCCCCCGTAAATAAATAAATAAATAAATAAATAAATAAATAAATACATAAATAAATATCACTTTCATGAATGGACAGATCTAAACCTATTTAATGTATACGTTTGAAAACTTTACAATATCAAGTCATTCACTTGTTCTTGCCTTTTATTTTGAAGGGTAAGACACGGGTAAACTCACTTCATTCGGAAAGAAAAAGTAAAATACACCGTGTCACTTTGTATAAGCCTATGTTGGCACAGTTTAACATTTGTAATCGGTCGCCCCTTGTGGCTATTATTTTGAAGAAATAAAAACTGAAAACAAAAACTTTCTTCTGAAGGCTGAGTGTGAGTAATCGAGCAGCCGGTGCACGAGCTGGGAAAACTTGTTCCTCTGTTGTTCTAAAGTCTGTCTGCAGATGCAGATGGCAGAGGCCTGCAGCACTATAGCTCTTGTATGGTGGCTATATTGTGCGGAGTGCAGGCAGCCAGTATAAATATTACATGGGGGCAGCAGCTGAGTGAGCGCTTAGGATGGGACCGGGGGAGGCCCCTATAGTCCCTCGACAGATGGAACAAGCCGACAGACTAAACACACACACACACACACACACACACACACACACACACACACACACACACACACACACACACTCCGAGAGAGAGAAAGAAAAAAAACTTTTTAATAAGCCCGCAGCTTTGGCAGTGTCCCCATGGTACCGGGGCCACACGGTCCCCCAGGGACCGACTGTCCTTTGTCTGGCCAGTTTTTATCCGAAGAGGCTGGAGTTTATCTCTGCTGTGTACTCAGAACTCAAGTTTACATTTCTTAAGTTTATTTCGAAATGCTTGCATGCGATGAGTTTGCCCCGCGGAGATGTTTTGAAGTTACAACTGGTGTAACCAGACAGAGCTGTAAGCGTCTTTTAATTCAGTACAGCGATGGTCACAATGTCTCTAAAGGGATTTCTTGGACGCTAACAGAGCTGCTGCAACTTTTTAAAACAAAGTTCCGGCGCGTGTCTGTTGACTGTCTGCTTATATCTGCGTCAGCACAATGATTCTAAAGAGAGATGGAGATGCCGAGACACAAAGTTTAAACACTAAGTTTCAAAGTTGCTCCTCTACAGTTTAAAAAAGTGAGCGATACGAACCTAGAAAAGTGCGGCACAGCTTCATCTCTGCGGTGCTCCTTCTCTCGGTCCCTCTGAAAAGTCCCGCAGCGGCCGTCAAGTGCTGCTGGCAAGTTTACTTCAGCCTAACAAAGTTGCTCAAACTTTACTTCAACTTCCCGACGGAGTGACGAGGGGCGGTGACAGACCACTGACCGACACGCGCGGGAGCCAATAGGAAGGAAGGCTGCCCTCCTGCTGCCAAGAGCTGGAGCCTATCCCGCCCCTTCAGTGTCAGCTTTCAACAACAATAGCCCGAACAACAGCAACAAAGAGCATCTGCTGCGCCGGGCAACTTCTCACACTCACGCTCCCCCAGCGATCTGACTGAATGCACATAAACTCTCATCTGCTTCATTTACATCAACCTGCACATGCTGCTGCACTGAAAACGTCCACAGACATCAAACATAGATTCAAACGTGTTGCACAAAGAGCTTCGCGGGATTAGATCACAAATATCTCACAAGTCCACCACAAACTCGTGGACAACTGCATGGACACGTAATGAAGTAGAACCGAGCTGCAGAATGATGAATCTAGCTGTAAACAAACATGGAATTAAAGCAAGGTATATTTTTCTACATTCTGCTTATGTTAGCAACATCTCTTTTCTTTTCTCTACTTTTTTTTAAAACATGATTGGTCAGTTTCCACCAGCCTCCCTCATCACGTGTGACCAAATGTACCAGATGTACAGCTAATTTAGGGAAGTTAGAGGAGCATTTTCACTGGAACTTCAGGCCTATTCAGAGCGTCTGTGTCTGGGACAGACAGACAGTTCCTCCCTCCCAATAGCAGATGGTCTGCCAGATAATGAGCTCTCCCATTGCTTGCTCCCATTACCCCCATCCCCATCTCTCCAAGATGTAATGGGGGGTAAAGCAACCTCAACACATTCTACAGCCTTTTCATGTACATTTAATGTTCTGATTGCTTATTGCTATTGTTTGTTGAAGAGAGTTGCACATTGCCAAACAATATCCTCTCCTTTCTTGGAGGCGTGTGCTTGTCTACACTTTGAAATTTGTAGTGTTAATGTAAAACCAGATTCGGTTTAGCCTCCCTTTTTGCTCAATTGAAGTGAATTAAACTAAATTTCATTATCCTTAACCAGAGTATAAGCTTCGCTAGCAAATAACTATATGTTACTAGAGTAAGCTAAAAGACAAACTCAAGCAAAACCAAAAAAACCCCACATTTGCTTGACTCACTTCTAAACTTGAATGGTCACAATAAATAAACTAAACTACACTGAATTCAACTTTCCCTTTCTGTGTAAGCACAGTAGATGTAAGTGACTAAACCAAGCTAAGCTACCTGTATACATTATTAGAAGAATCAATGCTGCTAAATTAAACAAAAATAAAAAGAACTTGGATGACTTGGAAAAACTTTTAAAATCCCCCCAAACTAAACTAAGCTGTGACAGCACAGTAAATTAACACAGTCGGACTA